CATACACACTCAAACTACACAAAACATGACGGGTATTATTGTGTTGAGGCGGACGAGTGTGTGTGTGTGTGTGGCCAGCGACCCAACACCTGGGCCCCTCGCTGCTCCTCACCAAAAGGTCTGTGTGTGGACCATGTGATGAAATGTTAAGGTCAACTAAAAACTAACAAAGTTGCACTATTAACTGCGTAAATGTAGGAGGCAGAACTTGATATGGTCTTGGTGTCCGCAGGGATGATAAAGCCATGTGTTTGTGTGTTGTTTTAAGCACCAGCGCTTGTCTTATGCTCTGTTAATGCTTAGAGAAACAAACACTGTCTCTGTGATTGTTTTATGTTAGTTCAATGTCAATATGATGTATTCTCGAGTATGTGAAGAAATGTGCAATTTTTTTCTCATGGGTGGAGGGAAGTAGGAAGGTTACAGGGTGCAGTAACACATGCGGTTGTCCACCACGCTGTCCCTCACACACACACACATTCTTACACTCCTCGCTCGTAATGGAATTCCCAGAGAAAATGGTCAGTCGTGATCGCATTACAAAAGGCTATACGTCGTGGAGTATTGGAACGTCCAGCTTTCCCGCGCACTTGTTCAGTTTTCCTCGGCCACGTTTGTTGACATTACTCGGTTTTGATGCCTTGTGGCCTGACCAGGTGGCTGCCATCATCCTGTACCAATAATAATTTTCTCTACTTATTTACACTATCTACTTTTCTAATCCATGAATGTATATAACTTTCTAAGAATTTATTACTTTTTATACGTATGATATCAGGAATTGATAGATGTTAAAACTTGTTAGCAAGATGTCAGGGGTGAGGAAGCGGTGGCCGGTGTGTTCGCTGACGTGTTCCTTCATTCAAACTCTTCCGCGCTTTAGTGACGGCAGACGTGGTGGGGCATTTTCATATACTTCTGATCATGGTCACTCGTAAAGTCATTTGTGGAGGAACTTAAAAACTTGTTCTTGTCAATACTTGTGGTGACCTTGTGCGGCGGATGTATGTCGTGGTAATGTAGATGCAGTGTGACGCTACAGTTATGAGTAATGTTACACGAGGCAGGAGCGTGACTACTCCGTGTTAACAGTGACAGATTGTGTTGTAGTACGCGGTAATGAGTAAACGTTACATACGTTTTTTTCTTGTTAGAGGCACGCCATGGCTCCCCATCACCGTTATGATGACAAAAACTGATGTTTGTTAATGTCGGAGGTAGTGACTGGCGGTGTGATACGTGTGGTGGTGACAGTCAGTGAGGGAGGGAAGAGGGAGGTCACGTAGGCGGAGGACTCTGCTCCCCACACCCACACTTTCTACCCCGCCACACTCTCTCTCTCCCTCGTGAATGCCATTTCTTTGCTGCTGTTACTGTTGTTGTGTGACCCATCAACAGTCATACAAGAATACGGGCCATTATTATCTCGCTGCACATGGGTCTTGCCATCAACACACTGAAATATATTCTTACCAATGGCAACACTGGAATTATCATTGAACCGCGACCACTTCCTAGAAACTAGAGACTTAAAAAAAGTGGATCCGTAAACCAATTAACTGATTTCCTTTGTGCCAGGTAATGTAGGGAAAGCGTAAACTAATCAAGACTTATAAATGAGGGTTGTGGAACAGGTGGATAAAACAATAGATACCTGTTGAGTGTTGGAGGAACGTGGACGACTTGTGGTACGACCAAATATTACCAACGCTTCTTCAGGTATTATTCCACGGTGGTATGACTAAACTAAGTCAAAAGACGAGTATCAGTTCCTGTGAGTAACATGACATTGTACTCAGGGGATAAGTTGTCATATTCATGGGGTTGTCATCGTACTCAATAGGTTAAGTCATCGTAATCAAAAGGTTGTCCTCGTACTCAAGTCATTAAGAAAACCGCGAGTAATCAATTAAATATTATATTCTCTCAAAGGTAAACAGTGTTATGCAAATTGGGTCGAGTTAACGGGTGAGGGAGTCAGTCAGCTTGCCTATGTCGTGTCCAAAGCATCAGCGTAAGTAAGTTTGATGCTTCACAAAATTATCTTGATTCATTGTTATTTATTATATGGACGCCTGGGTTAACTTGAAGAATCTCCATCTTAGCTTATTTCTCAAGACTAACCACATTATCCTAGCTTCATTCACCAGCCCTAAATAGTTTTAGGACGGTTAATCTCCGGGTGAAATAAGCCGGGGTTGTGATTCCTCAGGTGATCCGACGCCTGTTAAATGTGTATGAAAAGTCTTGTGTACGTTTCTCGACAACATCTCTTAAAGTCTTCATTCACGCGCACGCACACACACACGGTAGGCTAAAGTAATCTGACGTAGAGGTATGTGAAATCGTGCGTAACTCGGAATGGTGTGTGTGACCTACAGCTGAGCTACCTGAGTCTATGGTCACTAAACGTGCTAGGGGGCATGTTGGGGACATACCTTTGATTCCCAAACGAACATACGGTCACACTACCATACGCTGTATCTGTAAATTTCATGCTACTTTCGTCATATATATATATATATATATATATATATATATATATATATATATATTATATGGCTTAGTGATGTTTAGAGTGATTATTCGATACATGGCATATTTGTGCTTGAATTATGTATATCTGTCGTGTAAATAAAGTGACACTAACTCTTTCTTTTAATTCCTCGTCATCGTCACTATTAATTCTCACGTTTAATGAGAGAGAGAGAGAGAGAGAGACTAGGAAGCTATTGTTTTGATTACGTAAGTGTGGTGTTGCGTTCGTAGCTGCGTGTAGGAAAGGGAGTCTGTTGCTGGTAGGTGTGTGTGTGTGTGTGTGTGAGCGGAAACTACACTTCACCGTAAAAGGATGGATGTTGTGGATATGACCAGATAATTCCTACCTTTTCCCCCTCCTCCCCCTGACGTGTTAAGGTAGAGTTATCACCCTTTGTTCATCCCACTTCCTTCACACCTCTTGAGACATACCCGCTGACTTGTCTTTTAGAAAGGCAACACGAGTTTGAATCACCTGAAGATTAGCCCCACTAGTATATTTCACCTGATAATTAACACCCTAACCTAATCCCTCGGGTATTTAATGAAGTTAAATAATTTGGGGGCAAAACTCACTGCTTAAGTGAATTTAATCGACATCATTAAAACAAACAAGCCAATGCTGTATGAAAAGGTATATAATTCTGACGTCATTATATACAACACGTCACTGACCATCAATTATTGGCATTATATTTTTACCAATCATGATGAGGTAACATTTATAGCGTGTGTCTGTCTGTCTATTGTTCCCGCCGCCTTGATGATGCAATGTTCACCAGCCACTCCACTCAGGCGAACAAACTACTTCTTCATCCATTCCTCCATTCTCTCCTCCATGTCTTCTCAAGTTCATAAAATTCCACTTTCTTAAGAGACCGTTATTGTAGTGGTGCGGGGGGGATAGGGGGTAGTGGCGAGGTTGGTTGGATCATATTTCAAACGTAATTGGTTCAAGAAAAGCTAACGTGTTTTTTGGCGGGTTTTATTGTTGAAAAGAGAAGATAATTAAATTCCTGGTTTGTCTTTTGTACGTGATGTTGTTTGTGTTTGTCCGTGATCTTGTGTCCATTCTACTTGGTTCTGACCACCACTACCACCTGTGCTATACCGTTCCTATACAAATATATCGGCTGCTGTATGGTGAAGAACGTATAATCACCAACCTGAAGAAAAAATACAGTTTATCACATGCAGAACGACACACAATATTTCCTCGTTTTTTTTATCTAACCCCGACAGTGTCCTCCCAGACCCTACCCACCCCATCTTCTCTATCTGATCGTAATATCCTGGTAACAATGTGCTAAGATGCATTCACTTCATCCATTCATTCTTGTGATGGTGAATTTCCTTGGTTAGTCTTACAGTGGAGGCTGTGTGCGTGTGTGCTGCCTTATTGTATACAGCGCTGCTAATGTTTTCCTTTATGGCTCACGAGTCCTATCATGTTGCGCCTTTAATGGTGATGCTCTTCCTGCTGGCATCTCCATTGTAAGACTTCCTCTAAGCTTAGGGAAAGTCCCTCTTGACGCTGTGTGAATGGAAGATCTTCCTTGATGCTTTGCCTTTTATGGATTCTGTATTTTAAAACTCCCTTTCACTGTTTTTATAACTGTAATTGTGTTTTTGTTGGCGTACGTAGCTAACAAGGCTGTTATATGACGCTAGTTACCTGTTGTAAGGGCACAGAGAGCAAGGGACCAGTTTAGGGTAAGGGTTGTGGCATGTGGCTTGGGCAGCGGTGAATGAGTCGCCCTGACCCACATTCTTTCCCGTCCTGCTGCTGCCGCTACTCCCGTGTACATCAAGCATCTCCGGTCACGCTCCCAAGATTTTTTTTTTCAATTAATAAAAGGTAACCAATCGCTGATAAGTAAGTAGAGTGTTCCTTAGATTAGATTAGTCTATGCATATCTTTAGTGTAAAACTCTCAGGATCATTTACAAATATCATGAACAAAGGATTTATATTGAATTCCTACAATGAAGAACACAATTGAATTTGAACCAAAGAACAAATATAAGAATGACAAAATGCTGCACGAGTTTCATTATTATTTCTTCACATAAATAACTACATGTTTTATATACTGTTTATGTGATTCTCATTGTATAACTATTTAAATAACTCCCCTGTATTTAAATTCCGGGTGTGTATGGATAGGAAACTTGGTGTTACTGTTACTTTTGGGTATGTTCGGTACCATATTGAGACTTTGTGATGTCCCCCGCAGATGTGATGGAGGATTGGTATAAACTGGAAATTTTCAGGCGTTCCTGTTACTTTAGATATATTGTACAGATAAATTAATGCTGGCAGTAACTTCTAATATGTGAAGTGACTCATTCTACTGAAGAATATTTTAACCACCAAGCTTTGGATGAGAGAATTGATTTAATATTTAACGTTGAAGGAACTGACATTTACCCTTTCCCTAATTATAAATGTTGCACTTTCAGGGTCCCTGACACGAGACCTGCGGCAGTACCTGAACACCCGGTTCCAGAAGGGCAGCGTGGATCATGAGCTGCAGAACACCATCCGCGACAACGTGTACCTGCGGACTGTTCCTGTAACGACCAGGACGCCACGCCAAGGGGAAGTCAACGGGGTAGACTACACCTTTCTCTCTAAGGACGAGTTCAATGCTCTACAGAGATCTGGCAACCTCTTAGAGTCTGGTGTCTTCGAGGGTGAGTTCCGTGATGGCCTGTCTTGGTATATTGTTGTTTGTTATTGCACCAGCTCACTGACCTTCCATGCTTGCCTGCCATGCATGATGTTCTACACTTGCACTTTAATTTAATATTTTAAGTTAACTTTTGCACTAGACTAATCAAGCTCAAGCATTTATTTTATTTTATTACTAATAACTTAAATCTCCTTCAATTTAGATCACATATAAGTAATAAGTCATTTTTTCTAATACAATCAGCAGCCTCCTCAGTATACCTCACACCATAAATCTTGTTATCTGGGTAGGCCTTACAACTTGTCCACATTCAATCACTATGTATTACATGTATTACAGTATATAGCTTCACACACACACACAAGGAGTTCATTTATGGTAATGACACCTCATTTTCTAAGTTATGAAATACTGAATTATTTTACTTCAATACTGTTCTGTAAAACATTTGAGGTTTACAAGTTTTGATATTCAATAATGTTGGTGAGAACCTGTAGTTTAGTTGTAGAATATTTACCTTACATTACAAGGAACGTGTCCCAAATTCAAACTACAAGTCTTGGCAAGGTTTATAAGACTAGTTTCCCTACTTGTACATTTGCCCTTCATCATTCAGCATTAAATGAGTGAAGCAGCTCTTGGTGGGATAATGCCAGGGGTTGGAGTAACTCACTAGCTGCTGAATGTTGGTAACTACTGTAGGATTACCGTAACACACATTCAGCCCCAGTAGATAAGGGCTCATACTCTACTGTACTCTATGCATGAAAAATGGAGATGAAACACCAGCCAGAAAAAAGTACTTAAAGTATAATAAAAGTTCAGGTTAACAGTCCACAAAATTATAATTAGTCTCATGCATCACTGAAAATACCTTATAGGGGTCTGATCTTATCACCTGACTCCTGCACCAGGTGTCTTGATATACTGTCCAGGTAACCCCTTGATAATGGTGTATGGTAACTTGATTGATAATGTAATACAGTACCTCAACATTGTTTACCAATCCCTCAAAAAGTAATACTGTATTTAGAAGTGAAAGTTACCACACTAGCCTGTCACTCCTCAGCCTCCAGCCATCACCGTTACCTTTAGCTGCCAGTACAGTATCAACCTTTTGAGGAATATGGTGACAAAGGCAGGTACTACTACTTGATAAACTAGTACCAAAGGACATTGTTGAGGGGTATCCTGGGTATTAATTCCATAGACGACCCTATTACACAAACCTCCTTGTCCAGGCTTGGTCATAAATGGGACATAAATATCAGTCCTTTAATTTTTATCCCAGTAAAGAACTGCCTCACATTTGCTTTTATTTTTTTAATTGCTGCACAAAGGTAAAAATGATGAATATATTAAACCCAATAACTTTGAACTGCTGACTGTGTTATTAACAGTATTTGTGGGACATTAGTTATTTATAGTCAGACATTACAGTCTTCCGGTTCAAGGGAAACAGTCTGAGAAATATCAGTACAGTACAGTATAGTAAAAGATAAGACATAAGATAACATGAGTTCCGTGTTATCAAAGTGATAAAGGAGATTAGAAGTGTTCATATAGCCTAGAGTCACTTGTACTGTGATGGAGCTAAGGCACAGACCATCCTATAAGGACTTGCTGCACAGATATAACCATTACCGTGCAGCAGAGAGAGGAGCACAACATGAAGGTATGACTCGGGGATTATCGCGACATATTAGGTGACCCAACACTGGTGTAGTGAATTGCTTGAAAGGAAAACTATACACATACTCTGGTGATAAGGTTGAGTGGTGTAGGTAACTTAGATTTGCATGGGGTGTGGTTTATTTATTTTGCATGTGCACCACGCTTAATGTTTAGCAGAAACACTGTGCAGACTTCTCTTTTTTGGGGGGCAGAGGATATAGTGTTATAATTACAGGTCATGAATATGGAACTCCAGTACCATCCCCCATCTCATCAGCATTGCCACAGCGGCAGACACTGGAGCGTATAACAAGGCGTAGACTGCAGCACCGTATAATGACTACTGCCTCCAATGCCTTCTCCAGCATGGCCTCCGAGGTTCACACCAGTTCTCCCGTAGTGTCTCGACGTTTACCTCCCCTTCATGGTCCCTGGGTTGGTGTCCGCCACGGGAGGTCTTGGCTGCCCAGTGATGATGCCCCGCCGAGTGAACCACAAAGTGAACCGGGTTTAGAACCCGACGCCGCTATAGATATTGTTGATGACTATAGCAACCTCTCACGGTCTTTTTCTTTACCAATGAAACAACCACGGTCAGGAAAACACAGCTCGGACAAGATGAAGACGCTTCCAAGCCGATTATTAAAAGGAGTTCAACGCCCTTCACTTCGGGAACTCAATCGAACCTTTAGTGCAAATGAAATCAAAGAGTATTTTATACGACACGGAAGCCAGCGTCATCGTTTAGCCGTGGACGAGATGCACGGGCAGGCTCACGTCTCCAGTTTACAAGAAAAGTCCAGAAAGGGGATCCACCCAGCAGGTAGATCTGCTCAGAGAGCATCTAGTCGTAGTAAAAATTCTCCCACCAAAAACAAGGGTTTAATCTCTTTTGCTGTAGATGCTAAATATAAAGCTTCACCTGCGAGCTGTCTTGTAGCACAGACCCTCCTGACTCAACCCCGTACTAAACCACCTAGAAGGAGTTTTTCCGACGTTGCAATGGCCGATGAAGAATCTGACCTGGAATCATTCTTTGCAGACAGTAGTGACGATGAGACACTGGTGGGTAGTGATAACCAGTCATTATTTACTGACAATGAATCAGAAGATGATGAAGGAGAGGTTTTTTCGAATGAGGAAATTGTAGCAGATGACAAGACAATGATCCCAAGTATTTATAGAGGCAATCCTACAGGCATATCTCAGAGTAATCCACTTTATAGGAACTCTGTATCGTCATTAGAGAGTCTTGGTATTTGTGGCAGTAATAAGTTTGACCCGGTTGATAATCTGTCGTTGTTTTCTAATGAGGAATCCGTAGACCCAGATACTGAATCAGTGTCACAAGTAACTATAGATCCACCTCCTCTACCATTGAGTGATCGATGGTCGTATTTAAACCAAGTAAATGAAGACGTAACTAAGAGTAATTCTCCAAGTATCTCACAGAGAAGTCCTCTAGATAGCCTTACTCCATCACCAGTAGAGAACCTCAGATCTTTTGACAGTAATAACTTTGATGCCATTGACAACCTCTCCTTGTTCTCAAATGAGGAATCTGTAGATCCTGATGTGAATGTCATACCCCACCAGTCCCCAAGCAGTACAGTGCATGCAGTATCAACAGATCCATCTTTCAAAGTATTTAGTGATAGTACTCCTGTTGTAGATAACACTGGCATAGTTGGAGACTTACAGAAGTGCAGTCCACTTGGAACTTCAGGATCAGAATCAATTAATGTGGAGAATATGAAAATTTTTCACACTGAAAGTAATTCAAGTAGCCCCTGTGAGGACTGTGATTCTGTTATTTATCCTACACCACGAGGCACGCGGGCTTCATCTGACGGGGCCCTCAGTGATGTGTCGTCTCATACAGATAGTGATATATGCAGTGTTCACTTGGACGACATGGCTTATGACTCTGGCTTTGAAAAACAGCTCGACGGCAGTGAAAGTGGTTCATCATCAGACGTCGGTGATGTTTATCAGGTAAATCCCATGCATCACAATGAGGCTGAGAGTCATCATTCAAGTTATGCTTTCACACTCGACAAGTTTTCAGTAGTGAAACTTACATCAAAGGAGAAACCAAAAGTCCCTCCACGTAGTTCATCACTAAATAGATTTTTAATGCACAATAAAAAAGACACAAGACATAAAACAGACACTTTACCTGTGCCAGTTTTGAGGGTTGTCAGCCCAGGTAAGGAGAGTGAAACAAATCCTAATGGTACAATATGTGAATTTTATACAGCCAAAAGGTTAAAGAAAGCAGCACACGGTATATGGACTGGTTCTGAACTTGATGCTACTTGTCCAGCCATAAAGAGACACGATGCATCAGCTGTTACAAGTTTCCCCGTTGATGAAGTTGAAAACACAACCGAGGATGCAGTGAGACTCGGTACATCACCCATTACAGTTTTAACTTATAAGAATGAGAACTTGAAGCAAGATACAAGCAAGCAGGATGAACCAATTGTAACAGTTCTGAATGACACTAATGAAAACTATACACAAGATAAAAGAAAACAAGAAACGTTACTTGTTACAGTTTTGAATGATACACGAGGAACACACAGTGAAGACACAAGCCAAGAGGATACAGTGCATGTTACAGGTTTATGTAATACTGAAGAAATATACCAGGAAATTAATAATCAAGAGAATTTATTTCAACGCTCAGTTTTCTTCAGTAAAATCCAAATACCAGTACCAAAGAAAAACATAATTAAACATGACACTGTGGTCGACGAGGGTGTAAGTGACGTCACGCAGCCCACCAAAGAAGTGATGGGTTGTGTGGAGGAACCTGTAGACGGAGCGCTGGAAGAGATTCTCCCAGGATTAGATAACGATAAGACCGATATTTATGTGTTAGAGGACCTAATGGTGAAGTGTGGGAACAAACAGAATAAATCCATGTGTGTGAATTTGAATGAAAAATACCAAGAGTTAGCAGAAGATTCAAGCATTCAGACGACTTCACTTGATACAGTTGCAAGCATTGAGACCAGCTGTAGCACTTCATTAGATACAGATGCAAGCATTCAGCTTACTTCTCCAGATACAGATGCAAGCATTCAGCTTACTTCTACAGATACAGATGCAAGCATTCAGACTACCTGTCCTTCATTAGATACAGATGCAAGCACCGAGACTACCTCACTAAACACAGACGTAAATGAGATGGAGGAAAAATTTAAGAAAGAATCAAATAAAGATCTTACATCATTTAGAACACATACAAGTGGTCCTCGTGTAAACAGTCGTCTTGACATCGACAGCCATGACGAGAGGAACTTGAAGGGCGCTCACAATGACAACATTTTGGAGGACACCGTCATAAGAAGTGCAGTTAATAAAATGAGGAATAGATTTGAAGAATTAATACGAGATTCCAGCAAGAAAGAAGAGTTGGCGAATAGAAAAGTTTTACGCAGAGCAGCAAAGAGTGATGATTGGTATCGCAAGGACAGAAATACAGACTCTTTGAAAAACTCGGAAGAGGAAATTGTCGCTAGAAGAGGCTCCAACACCTCACATGGACGCACTTCACCCAAACATATAGAAGATAGTAACAAACCGGACAAATTAAAATCAACACAGACAGGAGGAACTTTAAGGATCTCACAGCCAACTATTGCTGACAGAAATATATCACTTCCCAGTACTCAAAGAGGTTTTAATGAGAATGTAAAAGATTTAACTACAGAAAAAAGTGAATCAGAGACTAATGTACAATATAACACACAGCATGATCAAATTCCTAGTCACCAAATGGTCTCAGAAAATAGGATTAGTTTACAGGAGGCACCCGAGATCTCACCAGTGGATCATAGCAGTACGTCACAGTCTTCAGTCAAGGAGTCTCACGCACCACTGCCTGCCAAGCTCAATACACCGTCGTCCAGTAATAGATCTTTCGGTACGAGAGAGAGTCCCGATGGCTCGGAATTAACAAATGATTCATGCAGTTTAATAGAAGATAATTGTACGTACATTTCCGATGAAGAAGATAAACAGATAAATGACATTGACATCGATATCGATGTTGAGAATATTTCTGAAAGCTCCTCGGAAACATATGTCGAGATTGACGTTGAAAATATTAGTGGAAACTCATCAGAAACATCTACTTTGTCTCGAACTGGTGGCTCGGTATTAGTCTATGATATTGACTGTCACCTCATTAATTCATCGCAAATGAATTCAGAGGCAAGTGAACCCAGTTTGACCAGTGAGACAAAGCAAACATCATTGACAGTAAAAGATGACGAGGGAGAAGCAACAGCAGGAGAGGACCCACACTCAACACCACATCCTCCCCCAGAGAGAACTCTATTTATAAGCAGAAATTCTCCAATGCGATTCAGCTTGGTTAAAGATCCCCACGAGAGACAACAGCGCCTTTCTTACAAGACCGTGCCCGTGAAGGTCCCTCGGAGATCTAAACTAAAAGACGGGTGTAAATTCGATGAGAAAATATTTACCAATTCCATTGGACGACTACGTAAACCAGTGGTCGATCACAGTGACAGTCCGGACAATGAAATGACCTATATTGAAGGGTTACTAAATACAGAATCTCAGAACTCATTAAAAAGACAAAATGTTTCCCTCCTCTCAAACTTAGGAAGAGATGAACCAGATACCTCCTCACTGTCTGGTGACTTGGGGCCTCCATCAGTGTCTGTTATTGTGGATGGATCAGGTATTTGTATAGGGAATGCTTTTTAATGTAGATATTAGTCACTTCAGTGCATGTTGTAGTGTTGGCTTTGACTTGACTCTCCTAACAAACTCTCATTACTAAATATAATCTGTATATAAATGTGTTTATGCTTGTCTAATGTATTTTTAATCTATTTTTAAGTTGTTTATATATTTTCACGAATATAATACCTGTAAAATATGAAACTGTTATAGCAGATTTGTGAATAATATTAACACTAAAAATTTGGAATGTCGTAGTTTTTATTTTGTTATATACACGCTGATATATCAATCCTGTTTAGGCAACCACTACGGAACTCCCAAGCCGCCATCATTACCGCCTGACCACTTGGCTCGGGGGTCGGCAGGCGCTGCTGTCTTACCAGGCGCTCATCCCAGCTCGGAGGGCAAACGGCGACGCAACCGCTCCAATGTAGAAGCAATGGCCGCCAATACCACCAGCACAGAGCCTCCCCCAGAATCTCCCAGCCACCCTTATTCTTCTGGGACTCATTACGGCCCACCCGGCATGTCCCAGAGTATGGTGGCAGAGGAGGGTGGCATCCAGCTCCAGCCCCCAGACTCTCCCTCGTCCGGAGAGTTGGGGCCGCTGCCGTTCAACTGGGAGAAAGCATATACGGAAAATGGCGAGCCGTATTATATTGAGTGAGCACTGGAGTTAATATTTATGTTATTGAGTGATTAATTTTATTCATTAATATATTTATGTCTTATGATTAATTAATGTTTTTTGCTGCTATATTTACGTCATATGATTAATTAAATTCCCTTTACGTACCGTGTCCCTCAGTCACATGAACGGTACGTCATCGTGGCTTGACCCGAGGTTAGCCCGAGTCCAAAAACGAAACGCGGAGGAATGTGGCGAAGATGAGTTACCATTTGGCTGGGAGCGAATCGACGACCCACAGTACGGGACGTATTACATCGACCACGTCAACAGGAAGACCCAGTACGAGAATCCAGTCATCATGGCCAAAAAACAGCCCATTACCCCCGTTCAAGGTATCTAATGCTTCTTCTGTAATTCAATTTCTCTTTTTAGCGAAATTTTCCGTACGTGAATTATGTGTACAGTATATTGCTGTCACCAAACACAACCCATATGTTATCCAGCAATAATTAGATTCTTTGCTCCTCATTGCTGCTAGAATGTTTCCCATCACCTAATTATTATGTCACGTTTGTGTTTCTTGTCAGGTGTCATTTTAAGATTGTCACTCAGGGGCACACGATATTCTTCAGTTGTCTTCTTCTTTATACACAACATTTCTGAAGTTTGTCTTGGTTTCTGTCATTATATACTTGTGATTTATCTTCTTAAATTCTCATACTTCATTGTATTAATATCAGCATTTAACTTCAAGAGGAATCCAAGAATATCATATAAATTTACCTGTAAGCTGTTAATAATATTGATAGGATTGTACTTGTTAGTTAAGGTTCATTAATTACAATATTGGTTATTTGAAGTTAATAACATTATGGCAGAATTGGTAAATATGTCCTTTTGGTGGCACAGGTGGAGGGAATAGCCCGGCAGACGGTGGGAACAACACGTTTCCCCGGCAGAAGAAGTCGGCTCCGGATGTTAGTGGTGGAGGAGTAACCCCAAACACTAACGATGGTTCACAGCCCACCTCCAATAGTGGACATAAGCGCGCAAACAGTGAGTGCGATCTAAAGTCCTCCCACACAGGTACCTAAGCAACCTCCATCTTTGCCAGTGTTCAGTAAAGGCAGTGTTGTTAGGGAGTTGCTCACCATTCCTGGTGCTGTGATGCACTGTTTTGTCTTATTTAAAGAGGAAACTTGTAAGAACGTGAACACTTTGCCTTTAATGAATGTAGGTGATCTCTTCTGGGTGATGCAGGCGTGGCCCCTCTGAGCCATACATCCACCATGTTTTAGTTCTTAGTGTAAAATAATATCTCCATTCAGAATATGTATAGGGGCAATCTTTTTTTTTTCCCATTGTTTGGATCTGTTATCTTGTAGCGTCCTTGTGCTGAGTTCCAGTAGTAGGGATTCTAACTCTCTAATTCTCTGGCCTAAGAGGGGACATGTCTTGCATGCCACTTGTAGATTGCATCTAATAATGTCTCTGTTGTAACAGTCCAGAGACAAGTACTACTCTGCTATTTTTTGTTTTGTTGAAGCAGCTGTGTGTAAGCTAGTGAGAAAAATTTGTCATGTCTTGTCATTGTCTGTAGGTAAAAAAAATAGTTACATGTTATTGTGCAAGCAAGAAAATGTCATGAATTTACACAATAATTGGTCTTTAGCTAAAACAGTCTGATTTGCTTGCCTTTGTTTGTAAGTGAGTTGTCTCTGGGTTGTTCTAGGGCTCATGCTGTACCTGCCCTGTTTACCGTGCTTGGCATCAGAAGGCAAAGACTCTAAGCTGCAGGTACAAGCACAGCAAGCGAATATTCGGGTCCACAACCGTATGGACAAGAATTCCCTCCCTCGTCCTCGCTCCCTCTCTCCCAACCACAAACACCCTGACGTCTCGCCCAAACACTCTAACCTCGCCAACAGACAAAACATTACTATTTCTAACCCCATGGATCCTGTACACCTGGCCAGTGGCACTCCTTTCAAGGCAAACAATCTTTCACCGGATTCTCAGGTCGTGAAGCCAAACAATTTAGCTCTTTCCTCGAAGAATTATTACCCACATGACCAAACTACTCCTGCCAGTAAACAAAATAATGTTAGTAGAGGCCAGACACTTATATTAAGTCACGGTTTCAAGAGTCAAGAGGTTAAGAACCCAACATTTAATCAAACTATTGTACCAAATTTTGCCAAACCACACTTTCCAAACTACCAAAATGACGCCCCCAATTCTCTCCACCCTCGAATACCTCAAGCCTCATCCTCTCCAAAGGGTCCACCTCCATCATTTGGGAGGTCATACAGTAGTCCTAGGTGTAGTGTTAACAACATATCCAGTCCATGGCACTATAACTTAGGACAGTCTTATTTACCAAACCATCCGTGGAATTATTCCTCCCCCTCTCCGGTAACTCCCGGTAACCCCCGGTTTCCCTCTCCCCGTCCATACCAACTTTCTCGCTTTTTCTCAACCCCACTGCCCAGTAGTCAGGATTTATCATATCCAACTATTCATCACCAAAGATCATTCTCCAGCTATTACTCCTATACTGCTTTCACCCCCTCTGCGTCCCCTCTCTACCGTCCATCCGAGGACCCTGTAGTATCGGCAGTCAGCTTAAGACGGAAAGGTATTCTCCAGTTAGTGTTGGACGCTTGATGCTTGTGCTAATGAATGTCCTGCTGGGCTGACTAAAGCTGTGGCATTTTTGAAATGGAGAAAATATTAATATCCATGCGTATGTGAGCTGGAATGCATTAAGTGGAGCTTGTCGTAATGAGGTGTTTCCCAATGGTACCTGATGTGTGGAATTTATTTTTTTATGCTTACTAATGACAATAACACACTAATAGAATGTGCAGCGATCGGATGGCCTGTAACCTGTTATGCAAGACATGGGTGGGCTAACACATTAATAACTAACTAAATAACTACTTTATATTTGTTTAAAAATTATTGTACTTCACTACTAAATTTTGTAAGGACTAGTTACAGAATGACCTTAATACAGTACGGTACTTACTTATCACACGATGGAGATATTTGTTGTTTATAGTGATCAATGTAACATATCCTGGGGCACTTTGTATACAATGATTATTAAAAAAATACAGAACAGTTTAAAAAGATTATACCAGTACATGTAGTGACCTTTAAGCAGTCACTCATACAGTTTATTTTTACAGATCGCTCTGGCCAAAGTGTTTTATTTACACGCAATCCAGCAGAGCTCCAGGGCGAGTTTATACGCACCAGCCTTGTCAAGTCTTCCCGGGGGTTGGGTTTTACTATTGTAGGCGGAGATGACAACGAGGAGGAGTTTCTCCAGATCAAGAGTGTCGTCCCTAATGGCCCGGCGTGGCAGGATGGAAAACTTCGAACTGGTAATGTTTACTCAGAAGTTGAAGCCGATTGATGTAATTATTTTTTTCATAAGGCTGAATAAAATCATCTGGCATTAGACACATAAGATATTAAGTAGTGAAGAGGTTGAAGTGTTAAATTGTGCCATGAAAAAATACATTATTCTTGTTTCACCTTCCATGTTATAACCTGTGTGTTTGTTGCAGGGGATGTGCTGGTGTACGTAGGGGACACCTGTGTGTTGGGCTACACCCACGCTGATGTAGTGAACATGTTCCAAAACATAGACCCAGGGAGAACAGTGTACCTGGAGGTGTGCAGAGGCTACCCTTTACCTTTTGATCCCAACGACCCCAACACAGAAATAGTGACGACTGTAGCCGTTACGTCAGCCGGTGAGTTGCCTCGAGTCACCGGGTTGTTCCCCATAATTCTTGGTAACATTAATGGATGATAATGTAGTCTGTTAACATCATTCAGTCGTGGGACTTAATACATCCGCTGATACAGGGTCGTCTTTTATATTGAAAATAAAATAAATTATTCTTCACAATGATCAGACTTTATTAAAGATTTTTATGTTCTGTTTATTGCACATCCTAAGATCTAGTAATAATTAAGGCTTCTCAGATAAAAGAAAGCCTCACCTGTTCACATAAACTAGAGGAGCATTCGTAAACTCAGTCCAGTACCTGTGTCAGCATACCAACTAGACAGATTTTTTAAGTTTTTATTGAACTTACAAGATAGAAAAACCAATGAAGAGTTTATTAAATGATTTGAATATACAAAGGGACTCAGTTCATAAATACTAATGGGTGCAGGACTGTTGGGAATGACAAGTATTAGTGAGTTACCAAGTAGAGATACACAAGATGGGAAGGTGTATTGAGGGAAAATTTTCATAGTTGAGCTTATAAAGTTTTATATTATTAATGTATGTTTGTTGGATAAATAAATGAGGATATTATGTTCTGGGGGCAATTTTGTGTTTTTGTATTCTATTGGGTTATTCTTACATGTTATTTCATGTAATTGTCAACTTCCTACCCAAGCATTATCAGTGCTATGAATACTGTATTGTATGTTCTTCCTTTATTAATCTTTCTGTGTATCAAATTCAATCCCAATTAATATGTATAAGAGGAGCAGAAAGATTTATAAGTAGCTACAGTAAGTGCTTCCCTCTCTTAGTACCTGTAGCAGAACTTATTGATGCACACTTAGTTACTGACTCAACCTAACTCTTCTTAAATTGTTCAGGACTGTACAGTATAAAGAACATGTGTGTATTGTCTAGTTTACTGTAAGTGTCAGAATGTGTTGTGTCTATGATGTACTATTATATATCATTATCCTGAGTAAGGTGTTATATTGGTCGATGCATGTACAGTTCATTATCATGCTGTGGGTGGCCAAACTTTGAGAATGTATTACATTTCAAGTTTAATAGCGTGCAAAAATATGAATTATGATTTTTTTTAAACTAATGTTACGTTTACCTTCTTGGTTACAGATGCACGATCTTCTAAGTCAGTGTTTGGTGAAGGATACGAGCGATCGAGAAATAATTCGAGTGAAAGTATGAACACGGCAAAATCCATGCCAGACTTAAGTAATCCAGAACGTGTGCAACAGGTGCCGAGGCCTGGTAGTGCTGACCTCCTTAGTTCAGAAAATTTTGACCATACACCTGATATTTTAGATTTTTACCCATCAGCACTAAGCAAACCTGAATATTTGACTATACCAATAGTGAAGGGTACTAATGGGTTTGGCTTTACAATAGCTGATAGTGCATATGGACAAAAAGTAAAAAAGATTCTAGATCGTGGACGGTGCAAAAACTTGATCGAGGGAGACATCCTAGTGGACATAAATAATATCAATGTGAAGGGAATGTCTCACACAGAAGTAGTGCAGGTGCTGAAGGATTGTGCCCAGGGTCAGGAGGCAGTCATTATGGTGCAGCGCGGGGGACTTGGTTCCCCGTCCAAGTCGCGAGGACTCCGTAAGGAACAAACTAGCCCTAAGAAGCCCGGGGTCGCAGCCGGTCTGTTTAGAAGTAAAACTCCCACGGCAGACATGTACAGTTCACAGCCAAAGGAGGTCGTTCCAAACAGACCCAAGACGCCTCTTGTAGATACTCGTAATAGACCTAAGACTCCAAACGTCATGGGTGGAGGTGACATCAGCGGGTCAGGAGACGGTAACAGACAGGTGGAAGGTAACACTGACTACCGGCCCCCTTACACACCTACCTCTGTACATGCGCCTTTTCCCGGTGCATTTTCATATACTGGGGGTCAAGTGGATTCCCAGTATGATGCAAAGGTCAACAATATGTCTGCTCAGATGAGTCAAGTTAGCTTAGAACAAAATAATTACGAAAATTATATCGGCGAAGGCCAGGGTTACCGCGGCGATGGCCAAGTTCCTCAGCAGAACAGCTACAACTATCACCAAGAGCTGTACACCCAGGACGGCTACTACCAACAGCACGGCGACGAGAGCGATATAAAAAGGAGCCAAGCAAAGACGCCCACCAAGGAATACATTAACCAGGGATATACTCAGTATCCCTATTATAACGACAACAACATCAGCAGCGCAAACCATATAAACAACAATCACCACAACACGAGCATGGAGCAGAACTCTGGCTACGGCTACATGCAGTATCCCAAAGATGGCTATGACCTCCCTCGGCAAGACTCTGGTTATAGCTCACAGGCCCAGATTCCTCCCGCCAGGAATCCCTATCCTCCTTACTACGGCCAGAATAACTCTGCTGGATATAATAATCAGGCAGACAGTTTAGGGAGAAGGAAAGAGTCGACCAGCTTCGAGTATGAGCACCCTGCACCCGTTAGCATGCCCAGGTAACACAACAACTAAAACTTTATATACTATTCCTTTGTGGCTCTAACATTTTTGTTTGTACGTATTTATTAAAACTAATTGTCATAATTTTTTCTCTTAATTGAAGTGACATAAAGGATCTTGTATGATAATGAAAACTGAATCAGTAATGGTTGCTTACTGTGATGCATCATTTTTATTTTATTATTACACTATACTGTATTCATTTTGGGCTGCCTTTCAGGATTAAACACCAGCCAGGGTTGTGCCCATACCAAACATATCTCAAAGTAATTAGGCTTCAATGGTGGTTGTACTGCCCAGGATACTAAACTGTTTGACTAGATTCCCGTGATTGTATTTTTCAATGTAAGACAGGTCAAGAATTGGGTCACTGTGTCTACCTCAAGATGTATAACACAGTGAATTTATTCTTTTTTACAAGGTCATTTAAGTTAGTAGGAACAAATTATGCATCTTAGATATAGGTTGAACTTTTTTTTGATGAAAGACCATAAACCATTAGTGTGGTACAGTATTGTTTACATACATCGTCGAATAATACATTTTATCAGACGCCACCATTCAACAATTGCATTCTCTGGTTCCTCCTCCCCCCATTTGATGGATTCTACAGAAAGAGAAGTTCATTACATTAAGGTTTCACTGTACAGTACTCTAATTTTATAAGCAAAATGTTAATAATATATGTTCTTACCTTTTGTTACCCATTCAACAGATTCCCTGATGGTCGATATAGTGTCAACCCACGAGTACCTCCGATGGGCCCCAACGGCAGTCTTGGCTACATGGAGTTCACAGTGACACTCAAGAGACAGGAGACGGGCTTTGGCTTCAGAATCGTGGGCGGGACTGAGGAAGGTTCTCAGGTTAGTGACTTAAATTATTTTTTCTTGTAAATTCCACGATTCAAGAAATATGGATACGGTACATACACTTAGAAACGTGTAATGTATTTTCTGCATTTATTGTCACTGGAAAGAGTAAATAAGGAGGTAATGGTCTTATAGAAAAAATAATTAAAATTAGACAGTATTAAAGTGTAGAAGATCCAGCTGACATGTTAATACACAGAAGTACAGTGCAGTAAATATTTTATATACCGTGTAGTACTGTATATACTAAGAATAAGCCATCTCTGATAGGCAGAAAGTGTTAGGAATATAGATCTCAAGAGTTACTCGCAATAAACTGTCAGCCTTAATATTGTTTATATATGTACAGGGGTTTGATGTATGATCTGTTATTTTACCTCAATACTCTGAACCTCTTGACAGGTATCCATAGGTCACATTGTACCAGGTGGAGCGGCAGACCAGGATGGCAGCGTTAACACAGGCGATGAAATTATCGGCGTTGATGGAGAGATGGTGTTAGGGTCCAGCCACCACCACGTCGTACAGCTCATGGCCGGAGCAGCGACTCACGGCAGAGTAACTCTCACCTTGCGGCGGCGATCACTGAACCCCTCTGGTATGTGGCCACTGAAACAATATTACTTTACCATAACATGTTTTGCCATTGATCTGATAAACATTATGTAAGGTATTTATCTTTTTATGCCATACAGAATATATGTTTATTAATGATTTTATTGCTTTTACATAGAGTAGATCAAACTTATTCCAAGAAGTAAACATTGCATCCTTATATCTGTTTAACCTCTAACTTAAAAATTAAAAAGTGTTCTTTTTTCAGAGCTTCATAACAGATCATTGGAGATTCAGTTTCCGTATGATGTCACGGTGACCAGAAGAGAAAATGAAGGCTTTGGGTTTGTCATTATATCTTCGGTCACAAAGTCTGGCTCTACCATAGGTACGAGTACTTATTGTCATACCTTTCAGGAACATATTTGTGAACTACTCTGTATATACAATGGACTATATGGAGGGGAAGTCCATTAGATCGAGGTTGTTGAACTTAAATGTGAAACTCGTATTTAACAGATTTTATAGATAAGGAAGTCTGTTACATCGAGGTTACATTAAATGTGAAACCTCCATCTTGCGGATTTTCAGAAAAGGACCCATCCTCTGTAGGCAAGGTCCAGGAGTTAAGATTTAAAGCAAGTATTGTAATATCCCAGCAGATTAGTTCCAGCGATGTCTGTCAAAAGTGGGGTTTTAGAATCAGTCCCAGCTATTGTACAGTATTTAACTTAATAAATTTCCTTTACTTCCCAGAAAAAAATATAAGTTGGCTAATTTTGAGATCTTTCAGGTCGGATAATTGAAGGCAGTCCAGCCGAGCGATGTAGTCGGTTAAACGTCGGTGATCGTATCTTGTCAGTGAATGGTGTGGACATCAAGACCCTCCACCATGGGCACATAGTCAACCTCATCAAGGAGTCGGGTTACTCAGTCACTCTTACCATTGGCCCACCCAGAGGTAAGTGATGCTGCTCTTCTATGAGTGTTAAACCAACAGGTGACATTACAATTATATAAAAAAGAAAATCTAATAAATTTTCGAGACTTGTTAATACGTATATGTGAAAGGAAAAGGAATTACGATTCTTCCTCTTTCTCTCCTCTCCCCACTCTCTCTCTCCTCTCCTCATTTAGCAATAAACTTTTATCCTTGTTTTAGATGATGCATCGAGCACCACATCTAACTCTCAGCGGGTAAGTAGCATGGCACATGTTCACTGCATGATCGTGTAGTGTGGAGAATGCATTGCAGTGGTGGTTTATTGGTTTTGCAACTAACAGTGCTTGTGATTTTTGTTTTAAATTTCATTGTATTTCTCTCACCTTCTTGAAGACAAATTTAAATAATTTTTTTATATATAATAACAAAGTAAAGAGTAAGATGGTGTTATGGAGCAGCTGTGCATGATAAGTGAATGCTAAATCTCCTGCCTTAGTGTGATGAATAATATCGGCAAAACCTAAAAGCAGCAGAAGTTAACACGAGGAGGATACCTTAATTATCTTCAGCTGACGTCAGGATAACTTGGGGGCAGCGGCTGTTGTTGACTACATTGCCTTGACAAAGTGGTGGACTTCAGTGACTTGGTGGTTGTAGGTGACTGAACTGAACAAGACTTTTAAGGTGTAAATTACAAAGTTATTTTACTTATTGTAGGAAGTTTTAGGTGTGTTGAAAAATGAAGAGCAAATCTGTGTCAACTTAAAAATAACTTGGGTATTTGTGTTCTCCTTGTAACTCAAAAAGTTCTGTAGGGGATGTTCTTGATCTCAGTCTGCCAACAAAGATTTTTTCTTACAATTTATGTCTGAGTAGAAAAACAACGTACATAGTGGAAAAGACTTAAATAAACTGATTGTATTTACTTTGGATCTGCTAACTATGTGATGCCAATACTGAAGGCGTCTCCTGATGATAAGAAAGTTAGTGTGCATCTACCATTGACTATTCACTTGGAACTATGTTAAAATATAATTGATTTGTTCCATCTCTGGTGAAGGCTAATTTTTGCATGCCTGTCTGGAAATAATTGAGCTGGTTATTAATTGTTGCAGACTGAGATGAAAAGAAGTATGGGATGTAGATGTAGTGGTTAGTTATGTGAAAGAACGGACCATTGAGATTGTATAACAACAAGAAAAATGGAATGATTAAGAGATACAGAGCTACAGATACATGAGGGGCGATTGTTAAATGTGACGGCACTGATTAACAAGAAGTTGCTGAAGACAGAGAATGATGTTATGTATTCAGATATATATATATATATATATATATATATATATATATATATATATATATATATATATATATATATATATATATATATATATATATATATATATATATATATATATATATATATATATATAAGAAAAAGAGTATATTAGCTGTTGAAGCTAGAGTGGATGATTTTGATGTGTTTGAGTGAATATTCTATTGTTTATATTTTCCTATAAACACTCACGATATTTTCTCAGTAGTATAAATAGACTGTGGAGTCTCCTATTGAGAGTGTAACAGTGAGTTGAGTTGAGACATGGCAATGACTGGTGACTGCTGACCTGGCTGACAAACTGACTGATTCTTTCCTCACAGAGCTCTCAGGGGTCCATGATACTGGCTCAGGCCACGCCAGTCTCGGCTCCACAAGCCTCTGGCACTGCGGCCCACACCTCTGTCCAGGTGGGTCACGCCCGCTACCTCCAAAACCATTCCCAGCCTTGGACACTGTTGTCTTATCCTTAATCCATCCTAACCTATCCTAGGTACCTTTGGTCACACCCACTCCCATCCTTGGACAGTTTGATCAGGTCCTTTCTCCATCCTTACCATCCTTGGGCATTGTGGTCATAACTCTCTTCCTCACATCCATCCTTGGGCAGTATTGTCACACCACACTTCATGTTCCTCATCGTACCCTAACTCCATGCATCTTGTCTTTCATGGGAGAGTGTGGTTGCACAATTTATCATATACTGTACAGTGAGAGCAGTTTTATTACACAAGATCTTTCATTACAATAAGCTCAGGTCCCTAAACGTTTGCCACAAGTGGATTTTATAGGCCTTTGTTTATTGTATGCCGGGTGAAGACAGTTTGTCACGGGTTCTTGGGGGAAATCTGTACATTCCACCACAACCAGTTGAACCATCATCTGATCTCCACAATTTCCTGCAACATTGTCAACTTCATATTACAGTATAGTCTCGGTTTACGCGGTCAATTAAACCCGTGGAGGTCTGCGTAAAACGAGAAACGCGTAAACGAAATAAGAGAACATATGGGATTAATTGAAATAGAGACTGGGCCAACCCCCAGACTACCCTTTTTCCGACACAATACGTACGTTGGCGTAAAAATAACATCTTAATTTTATGATGGTATGCACACACAATTAATATTTAAAAGAAATATCAATAACATCAGGTTTTTTAACACTTACGTTAGTAGAAGAGATGGCTGGGCACATGGGGATGGGGGGTTGGTTCCGAGGCAGAGGGCAGATTATTGGCCCTCACTTGTATCACTATCCACCACAGAGGCTTGCAGGGCCTCTTTGTCAAACCCTCTAAGTCCATATCCTCACTATCACTGACTTGGGCTGGCGGGTGAAGAACTCGATAATGTTTTGTTGATTGGGCGATCTAGTGCGCACCCTGCCGGCGCCGCTTCCCGCGTAAATGATGGAATGTACCGTGTAACTAATAATTGCCGGTCTGGCCAGGTGCCGCGTAAAGGAAATCCGCGTAAATCGAGACTATACTGTAGATTCTGTTTCTTTTCTCAGCAGTGTTTTGGTAATCATACAGTGGAGGTCCTCTTGTTAAGCACTTTATTTAATTAATTTAATTTGAAAGAACATCATTTTGAAGAGTATTGTACAGAAGATTTATTAAATGTAGGTATTAGATTAGTTGGTCTTGGTCAGTCAGACAAGCTTTACTATATTCTCTCATTAGTGATTCCTGCTCATCACTCCTTACACACAAACACACTTCTCAGAGTTGGGTAAATGATCAACCTCCTCACTGTCCTTCAGAGATTAATGCTTTCCCTTTCCTTGAGTTACACTGTGCTTTACAACCACAGAAATAAGGACTTGTACACAATATTCACAAAACACCACAACATTTATTCCTTGTTGGGTAAAATGTGCCAAACAGCATTTCCTAGTTCTAACTCTTATCTGTGTGGTCTACTACAGTAATCCTCTTCATAACTTCAGTCGTGTTATTTCAAATATTGATTCGCCTGTTGATAATCTGTCATATATTTTGCATGACCCTAACATACAGTTAAACAACTCGCATGTCCAATATCTATCTTTCTTGCGTTTTCATGTTCTTGCAATGTTCTGCAGGTTATTTCACCTTTATAAAAGAAATAGAAAAAATCTTCAACACATCCTTATGACACTATTAACAGTTCTTATTCACTTTAGGAACCAAACTACCAGACACATCTTTCTTGAATGGCAATACCTAACCACATCTGCACTCTCATGGCTATTGAAATTTGCTCCTAGATACTTTGACTCAATCATTAGCTATTTGCAGTTCATTATATTGGGAGGGTGACAAGTTTTACTGTAATTTTCAGAATTGTGGGAGCCAGAATTGCTTGATCTTACTGTGTCCATGTAAGGCAGGTACATATGGTAATGTGCACCATCTCACCAGCCTTTCTTGTAATTTTCAATTAAGTACTACACATAATTCACCCATGCATACATCTTGCCTTTATCATTAATTATTTGTGTATAGCTAGACTGTAGTGATCATAAACTTATAGAAAGTTATGTCAAGTAAGCCACTTATAATACAGCCCTGTTCATTAATATTTTTATCTTCAGCTGTACTAATAGCCATCCTGTGGTACATCAGTTACTTGAAAATTAGCTTACATTCTTGTACTTGTGATATAAACATTTACACATAAAATAACTGTTATTACACGTTTTTTGTCTTTATACTATTCCCTGACCTTCTGTTGTTGTAGTGTGACTCATTTAGGACTACTGTACATATCTTGTCTCACCCATGAAGCTCATCCAATCACAGTTTGACTGTTGGCCCAGCTGCTTGACAGCAACTGAGAGGGCTCATCAGGGAATCCTGCATACGTGTCAAGGTTAATGTGTCCAGCAGTAAGCCGGACAGTGGACTGTAGCTTTGCTTGTACTGCTTGTTGATAAACCTTGCCTCTGCTTCATTCTTTGTGTTATTTTGGTCATGAGGAATTACAAGCTGTATTCTAGATTTCTTTTAGAATTTTCAGTTTCCCTTATGTAGGTATTTTATGCCTGTTCCAGTATTTTAATGTGCAATGTCTTCTTTCCTTTGTATTTGTTTTACTTCATAGTTTCCTTTTCAAAATTATTTGCTTGTGTAGTAGATGTTTGATTATTTCTATTCACATTATTTTTTAAATTTAATCCGTTTTATTTTTGTTAATTTTGCTGCACATGTAAGTTGTTGCCTTCAATATAATGCATGGAGGATTGATTGATGTGTTTTATTTTTACATACAGATGTAGTTTAATGCCATTTAATATTTAAGAAATTCACTCATATGAATCTTAGGGGGTACAAGTACTGTATTCAGTAACAAAAATCTTCAACATTACATCTTCAAACTATTCATACTTACATTAATAACAGCTTTGTAAAATATGATCAGTTTTGAAGAATGAGAATTGTCTGACAAGATAGCATGGGTCATTATTTAGAGGAAGTCACAGTATCAGTGGATTTAGCACCCAAGTATATCATAGTGTATCATAACTACATATTACTGTACCAAGTTGTTTTAGTAATTAGTTTTTTCAGAATCTAAACCACAATGTTCCTTAACCACAAAGTTTTCTTAACATAGAATTGGACAAGTTGGAGGATACTCAGTTAATATAATGAAGAAAAAATGCAATGATTATACTGTACAGTAGTTTCATAACATTTCAACTTGAAGTATTTTGACAAATTTTTCCCCAATTGTTAACCAAGTCCTGCTGTGATACTATGAATTTTACTGAAGTTATATTCTGACAGGCTGAGAGTGATGCTGGTGATGATGGTGAGTACTACGGGGTGGAGCTCCAGCGTGGCACCCGAGGCTTTGGCTTCAGTATAAGAGGAGGCCGGGAGTTCCACAACATGCCTCTCTTCGTCCTCAGGATTGCCGAGAACGGACCAGCGGCAGAGGATGGAAAGCTAAAGGTAACGTGAATCTTTATTTGATTTTTTTATGCAGAGTAGAATACCTTTTAGTAAATTTTGCTCCATACAAGCTCATTCTCTGTACAGTAGTTGCTAAATTATCCATGATGTAAAGCAGTTTAGTTACAAAGAATTAATAAACAATTAAATTGTAATCTTAACTTATCTTAGATCAGTGATTCATAATCTTTATATTTTGTGAAATCTTATTGGACCTGTTTAAGAGATTCTTGCAGTTTCACTCGATCAGTAGGATGACAACCTTTTTAAAAGAATGCTTTTTAATCCTGTTCTTAATAAAGGTGTGGAAACTCATCGCACATGAAGGTAGGAACTGAATTTGTTGGCTACAAAACAGTCTTTGATTTCCAGATCCTTCTTGATGCTCCCTAGACCTGTCTTCCATGAACTGCTATTTCATACTGTAATAAAATAGTCAATATTCAATATTTTGAATATTATTTATTTACAATTCAGCCTTGTTAAGGTTACACATCAACATGTGGGTGCTTAATAGTAATTGTTCACTTAGTGTTTACTAAGACTCCTCCTTCTTAAATCTTGTCAATCTAGTCCAGGTACCAATAAGAAATTTGCTTTGGAGGCTATCTTCTGGGTGGATCAGTCCAGAGCACAGAAGTACCCATATAAACCCATCACTGGTGGTCAGGTGGCAAGTAATATATAACCTTCCTCTTGCATACAGGGTAGCCTATGAAAGATGAGAATCTTTCATTTAAAATTTTACATATATACATACAGTTTTGTATCTTACAGTGTACCCCTTATTTGAATACTGGAAGTTTTATACTGTACTAGTAATAAAGATATTTTCAATGTTCTTATTTAGGATTATAAATTGTAATAATTTCTGTACATTTGATATTGTTTAAGCATGACATTATTACACCTTCAATAGGTTGGCGATCAACTAATGGAGATCAACGGAAGGTCAACCAAAGATATGACTCATGCAGATGCCATAGAACTAATTAAACAATGTGGGAACAGCGTCTCTCTTCTGGTAAAACGAGGTGGGAAGCTGCCACAGCACCTAGGTAAGTAGTTGATGACCAAAAGATTTAATTGTTTATTGGTAATGGACCACAAAGTTTACCCACCACTTTTAAGTATGTTGGATTTTTTCAGTACCTCTTGTCCATGTTACAATTTTTTATATATAATCTACGACCATATATTTCACTCTATACTGTATTTATTGCTGATGCATGTGTGCTGTAATGTGTTAGATTAAAAATAATTGAAATTTTTTATTGCATGTCTCTGGTTTATATACCCATTTAGCACTCCAATCCTTCGTTTTTACTATCATTTGTGGCCCAACACCCTCCACTGATTGACTCAAGTATTACTCTGGATGTACTAAAATAGCTAGTATTTAAACTTTATAAGTTCCCTGTCCATTCCGAGCAGTTAATCATATTAATTTTCAATCTATTAACCCTGAACCAAAACATATTACAGCTACTTAGTTGTACCGATGATGCACTGGCCATTAAATTCCTGTACATGGTATATACCTTTTTATAAGGTGCATTGAAGGCAATTAGGGGACAGATTCTCTCTTGGGTCACTCTTGATGACCCATAGTTCATACAAATTGCATGCACTACTGTATATCCTTTATTGAAAAGTGCATTATTTATTATGCAAGTTACTTTTCTGCATTGTGTATTAGATTTTTAGGATTAAAGTTAATAAGATGTAAAGTTTTGGGTCTGTAATGCACATGTTAGCTTATCTTCAACTTCTCTCTTGTATCCTCTCACCCAACTTTTTTTCTTTAATAATAATTTATTAGTGTCTTCTGTTATACTTTATGATTTACCACTTTGGCATGGATAAGTTTATTCATTTTATATTACTGTACAATGTGAAAAGGATTTGTTCACATGTACTTGTTTTTTACAGATACAATGAATCCAAACAGTCTAGGATCACCTGTAGGCCCACCACCTCCAGGAACCAATGTAAGATCTACAGCCACACTACCACCTCCTTCACCTGGCTCCATGGGCCCATCCTACCCTCCTCCTCCTGGACTTCCAGGCCCACCAGGTCCTCCATACTACTCCCATGGAGGTTACAATGCTTTACCCACTTCTACCAGTGGCTACCCTCCCGCATACCCTCATAATGGAGCGGTCCGAGGGCCCCAACCTCTCCATTCTTCTCCAGCAACCCAATACCCACTTCCACATACTCCAAATGGTCCACTTAGCCAGTCTTCTCCCAGAGTAATGGCTGGTGAAAGTTATTATTGGAACCGTGTTCCTGACCATCGACCAGCGTGAAATTGACAGAATTAAAGGGATTGGATCCAAAGTGTACATTACTTATCTGAAACTAAATGTGATCCATAAAGTGATAGTCACAAAACTGTCTTTATGTTTGTTGTAAGATTAAATGCATATGCTGTGAATTGTCCAGAAAGATAAATCATTACATTACTGGACTCTGCTCAGTGCCTCCAGTGTTCATATGGGACCATATTGTTTTCATAGCCTCATCTCTAATAATTCTGAAGTTTAATCAGACAAAAAGAAAGAAATGACAGCTATTTTATCGTGATCTCTTCATATTTGTCTCGTTCTGACTTTATTTGCCTAATGGAAGTTTTCTTAAAGAAAACTTTTAAATTAGGTAGTCATTTTTAAAAAGTCTTGACGTTTACATTATTTTGCTTTTGTATTTCAGTCAAAACTGGTCTTTTAATTAGCTACAGGATCATTACCAAAGTGACCTTATATACTGGAGTAGGACCCATGCTCAATGCATTTGTTTTGTCAATATTTATAAATTTAAAATCATTTTTGTGTAGGTTTCACAAGGCAGCAAGTGTCCTGTTAAAAAATGGCCCTTTGCCATGATTTTTATATGCATGTGTACATATTATGTAGTTGAAATAGCTTAGACGGACATACAATGAAGCAGCCTGTGAAGGGTTGCACTCTTAAATGTCAAAAGTGTAAATGGCAGTTCTTGATACCAACATGTGACATGTAAACTGTAAGTAAACTGTAAACTTATTTTATTATTATCATAGATTGTCAAACACTGCCTTGATCAAAAACCCTTAATGCCTTATAATGGACTGTAAGTATGTGGACAGTTATAAGAATATTGTATGTATTCTAAAAGTTTATATTATTTTGATTATCAAGAGTGTCTCATATTTCTATGTGACAATCTTGTGTATTATATACCTTGTTAATAAATATTCATGACAGAAATGTTGGTATTATTAACCTATTTGTAGTTGAACATAGACAGTGCCAAATACTGAGGGATGTATATGCATGGTCTACCAAGCTTTTATGTGGAACACTGTACAACACACTGATAGGAATACAGTATTGGTATATATAAAAACCTACCTGGGATAACAAAAATAAGTAATATGTACAAACCGTGTGTATTATGGTTGCACTTATTACATCAAATACACATTAAGACCGACACAGTTTTCTCATTTACGGTACAGGTATCCCACTATTTACGATCATCCACCTTAACGAGAGTTTTTAACACCCTCGATCAACAAATTCCACGTTAACAATAGTTATTATTAGGCTAAACTTGCTGACACAATATAAAGACTGAAGGACATCTTTCCCTTCACTTTTCAAATCCATTATATGGTCAATATGCACAGAAATTGCTTTTCCATCCTCTGTGTAACTTCGCCAACCTGTGCACCGCCTCAAAGCTACCATATGAACTACAGTCTTGCGCTTTGTTTCAATGTGATCGGATCTGGCCTCACTCGTGTAACAAACATTGTTATTAATTGTTGCATAACCCAGCGATTATTGTGATACTTTGTCATTATTGGTGAGAGTAAAACATTATCGTTCAAATTTTGCTGTTTTGGTGACTGAAGTGATCAGTGAACAGTAACTTTGAAATTTTGAAAATGGCTAGCAAGCGTCCTACTGATTCTCGCCTCTGGGAAAGGCAAGGCTTCGAGGAAGACCGTGTCTCTGGAGATGAAGTTAGATGCTGTCAAGCGGCAAGCTTGTTACTATTGATGAGGTGAGTGTTGTTTAATTTTTTTGTATTTATTTAATTAGAGTAGGATTGTTTTTCTGTGTTACACGCCTGATTTTGACATTATAGTTTTCAGTATGGCAACCCTATCATAAATAGGGGGATACCTGTATGTATTAATACAGTTACAGTCAAAAGTCCTGTCACCTCTCCTGCTGCTCCACGAAGCCCAAGATTCAGACTAGCAAATCCAAAACAGTAGACTGATGCATTACTTTGTCCATGGATGCTCAAGATGCTTGACTCTGAATCTCGGGTTTTGTGGAGCAGCAGGAAAGGCTACAGTACTTTTGACAGTGACTGTTTATATAATAATAGTGATGGAAATTTAAAATTGTAATCCACTTAAACTGTATTTTATATTTGTGGTAGATTTTATAGTTACAGTATTTTTTTTACATACTGCCAGTTGTTGACCAAAGTGGCTGGCAGGGTGGAGAACTACAATCAGTACTCCACAAACTTCATTCCCACAGTGAGTTTGGTCCTAAGCACTTCAAAATACTGATACTATAACGAGTTCATAATTATAATGAACGGAAATGTAATTACTATTCACTGAAAGTGAAAAGAAGGAAGTTGATGTGTTCTATAGGGACAGACGCTGAATATAATTACTATATCTGATCAGTTTCACTTCTATATGAATATTTGTACAGTTATCTCCCTATTTATGATACAGTTGCATTCCTGAAAATCCTAATGCAAGCCATGAGGCCTTTTAACACGGTTTTCAATGGGATACATTTCAGGCTTGTCTAACACAGGCATCCTGCACAAATTAAATAAATACAAATAATTAAACAACTCTCACCACATTAATAATAACAAACCTGGTCATCACATGTCCCCTCAAAGGCTAGGGGAACACTTGATGGAGCAGTGACAGAATCTGACTTGGATAGGATGCATGCTAGCCATTTTCAAAGTTACACTGATCACTTCACAGTCACCAAAACAGCAAAATCTGAACAATAATGTTTTACCCTCACCAATAACAGTAAAGTATCACAGTGATCACAAAGCTACGCAATGAGCGAGGGCAGATGCGATCATGGTGAAACAAATAGCAGGACTGTATAGTTTGCATTGGTGGCTGTGGGGCCGTGGGCAGGTAGGTGAAGCTGCACGGTAGATGGAAAAACAGTTTCTGCGCATATCTTGGATTTGTCAAGTGAAAGGAAAGATATGCTTCCCCAGTGTTTACATTCCTCGTCAGTGAGTTTAGCCTAATAAAAACTACTGTTAAAATGGATTTTGCCTAATGTAAATAGTGAGAGGGTGGTAAAACCTAGTTAACGTCAATGCGGATAATAATAAAATGGATGATCGTAAATCAGGGAATACCTGCTCACTAATTTCATGAAATAGATTTTATAAAAAGGAAAAGCAAATTTACCCTTTCACTACTGGATGCCACTTCTATTTTATTTAGCTACCGCCATATGATTTTACTCGGCACAGAGAGCCCTCATACCCAAGGGGTTAATAATCAAGTACTGTACAGCATAGGCATCCCTTCAGCTGCATTTATTTGTCAAGTTGATCATTAATTCCTACATCCCATTTCACTTGGTAATGTAGTTAGAGCCATGAGATAACCACGGAAGAGCTATAGAACATAATTACGGTACTGTGTAAACTCAGGAACCCTAAACAGTAGTACAGTATACTAGAATACTATCTAGTGCATTAATACACTAGATAGTATTGTATCATTTCTCAAAAGCACTAAAGGCACAGAGGCTATATCCTACTTCCTGTTTCCTAAATAAAAAGGGTAATTTTTAGCAGTTTCAACATTGGACCCATTAACTAGTACTGCAAAAGAATATTCAGCGAACAAAATACAGGTATGTAAACAAAACCTCAAAATCTAACCGTTTAGGAGTGTTACTGTTCTTAACATATACTTCACATTTTCATCATTATAAACTCGTACTTTTTTTTAGTGTGGAAGACATTACAGTACAGTATATTGTGGCAGCTTAGTGGATACATTGCTGTCCATTAATCCCTTGTGTACAGGGGCCTCTACAGGGTATGTGCTTAATAAAATACTAAAAGTGGTATCGCCACAGAGAAGGGATTAAGGGCCGTTAAGCATTGTGACCCATTTTCAAAATCATGAATAAATATTCTACTGGTACCCCCCTCTCATGTCCACCGCTGGATAAATGCTTATACTACAGTATTTTTCTTGGATCTCTGGTTAGTGCACCAATCAAGAGTCTTCATCCACCACTTGGTAATACTGTACAGTACTGTACCTAGAATAATATTGCTTGTTAACCAAGAACCTTACTTTTTTTTTTATAAAAGACAACTTGAACTGACAATTGTTTCCCAGTAACCTTTACATATCTTACTTAACCTAACTCAACTTGAAGTAATGTACAGTACTGTACTGTACATTAGGTACCATGAAGGTTTGGTTGGTTCATCTTATCTTCAGTAAAATGGTAATAATCTGGAAAACCGACTCATGAGGAACAACTTTATGACAAATTTCTGTACTGTATCTGAAAATTTCTTACTTCTAAAATATCCCTGCCCATAAAAGTTGAGAAATTTTAACTCTTTTTTTTCTATAATTTTTCCTAAAGTTACTCCCTCTCAAGAGTTGGTGTATTAAACTACAGTAATGTATTACCAAATCATATAAAGTGTCAATTTTCCTTTGCATGAAATGCTCAAAACAATAAAAAGAGAATTACCAGAATGCAGCACGTCAACGTAGATCAGTGAAGTGAAAAAAATAGAAGAAAGTATTAATGACGTTACAATTCCATTTTTTTTCCTTAAAGTAAGTTCCTAGATAACTTTCAATACTGTTCCAGAGTATTACCCACCAATCAATCTACCTGTTGTGCTGTATATGTACAACTGTGAACCAACTTGGCTCTGGGTGACAATGGGATCAATTAATAAGGTAGATTTATAATAAATATTTACAGGGAAAACACGACCACCTACACATACTAAACCTAATCAACATAGATACATATACAGATAAATATTTAAGTAAAATCATCATACAAATTCACAATGCATATACTATTCAAATATGGTCGATTTAACCAAGGATACTTTCAGGCAAATATAAAAGCTTATTTTCATTGTGGTTTTTCAATTAAAAGTTATTTTCTGACATAACTGATATTTTATAGTTTTCTTGATTAAATCGATGTTCGAATTACCCAAACCCACGTTAGTCCTTTACGTGAACCAGATAAATTTGTCTTACCTTGTGACAGTGGTATGTGCTGAGCTAGACAACTTGCCTGACAATCAGAAACTCCATCAAGTCTTCCTGTTCAGAAGTGACACTGTTCTATGAAAACTGAGACGGTATTAGGTAAAAATACTGTGCAGAGTTGCTCATCTCGTCCACCATCCTCTTCTTACCACCTCATAGAAAACGGAGGAGACGTCAACAAAAGGTGTGTTCTGCCTGGGTCATTCCATCTTCTCCCTTTCTCTATTTATTTACTTTATCTCCATATTCTCTCTTGAATTCATGTGATCATCTTCTGGTGTCCTTGAATATAAGTGGAGATAAGAAACCTCGTCATAATGCTGCTGCCACAGTCCAACCAAGTACTAATGGATTTTGCAGACGTCTCAGGTCAGTCTTACAGAAAATGTTATTACTTGATCCATTTTTTTTAGAATAATGTTGTTGAGGATTTAAATCAATTGAAATAACGTTGTTTGAATTGGGTGTCTGTAGTCAATGCGAGATATATATTTTGTATTATATGAACTAGTACATTTATACAGATTCACGTCAGTTATTCAAATTCGTTTTTATTCATTTATCTCATTCGCCACTTATGCAATATCTATTATTCAACAATGTATCACTATTCTTTATACAATTTTGCGTCATAGCTACAGTATGTTTGATTCTTGTGTTATGTCGAGGTGTTTTGAGTAGATATTTACTTCGTGTTATGATGCAGTTTTGTTGTGTTTGGCAATTGTAATATTTATTCATTAAAATCGTCATATTAGTTCATATTGTTTCATAATTTACATAGATAGTGCTGGAATTTACAATGATAACGATAATTAAGCCAAAAATAGTCCAATACAATACAAACTCATTTCCATTGTTCTTTATCCGAGTTGAGGTTACTGATCAAATTAATCCTAAGAATGTGACAATGGCTTTTTAAAATTTTGATTGACTGAAAATGGTGTAATTTTTTTTCACAATCCAACATGCAGTTTCATCATGTGGTTTAAAATTTTATTGTTGGTTGAAATATTTTATTAACTAAATATTCAGAACTCGAAGTTTAATTGCACTCCTGTTGTTAACATTTACCCACAAAATCAAATATCAAATTGAAAGTATTTATGGAAATCGGATTCAAAATACAAATATATTATTCATGTGTGAATATTGAAATTTTGACATGCAGGTAATTGATCTTAAAAGGTTGTAATAAACTGTTTCAATTCAATTCAATTCAGTCCACTCTAATGTTAGGTAGCTGCATCGTCAGTTTACGGTAATGTCGTTTGATTTATATTTAGTTGTATACATGCTGTGGCGGATTTTGTGTCGTACATGTTGTGAAGAAACACTTATGTTGTATGTAGGAGTTGTGACCAAGCTTACTTCGTGTCCCCGAGGGGGCTAGTTTATTGGGCACCCCCTTACATCCTGTGCAAGGTGAAGCGCAGAAGCGTTTACAGGGCCCATCTGGGAAGCATGGTAGTTTCATGCTTGCCTTAACTCATGCATTAAGGGCGTGAAAGCTTGAAGGGTGATGGGTTTTGTCAGCAAGTTACATAAAGTGACAGAATGATGAGTGTGTGGGGGAAAATTCCCTGTACAATGTATCTGTTTATGGCAAAGTGTGGCCGGTCCCTAATAATGTCAAGTGCCAGGCCTGTCTCTAAGAGGAGGGATATCTGGTCAGAGCGGGGCCCGACTAGGCGGTATGTGAAGGCAACCATCCCTCGTTTCGGGTCACCTCGCCGGTCCTGGTGCCGTCAGTGTCCACCTGCCGACCGCCGCCCTCTCCACCACCCTCCTGTTGGTTCATCCCCGTTAGCCGTCTCCGCTGCTGTCTCCGCTGTAAGGTATTCTGTTGGATTGAAAGATGTAAATGAACAATGAGCGCGATAATTTGAGGAAAACTAGAGAGAAGCAGTATGTGTGAATAACGAGTATAATAAGTAGAGGAATGAAGTGGGTGGGTTTATGAACGGCTAAGACTAAGAAAAATCTAGAAATACACCAAAATTGGGAGGTGTGAAGAATTGATTAAGAAAGGTACAAAAGCGTCAAGGTATGATACTATTTACTCACAAGCCTGCGTCTGGTAGCTGCCAGTTGGTCCCTGAGGTGACGGCGGTCTTGTTCTCCCTCCTCCTGGGCCAACACTGCCATGTTCAGTGCCGCCGTCACGCTCTGCCAGGGATAACATTGAGAATTATAGATAACGGCGCCTGGGGGAGTAAGACTATGAGGTGTCTATACCCATCACGTGTTTACTGAATATATGTTGATTAAGGCTATGATGCTGACTTCGTTGTTTTCCGTGTGTTGATGTCTAACTTAGCTTTGTGTTGATGTCTAACTTGACTTTGTGTTGATGTCTAACTTAGCTTTAGTGTTGATGTCTAACTTAGCTTTGTGTTGATGTCTAACTTGACTTTGTGTTGATGTCTAACTTAGCTTTGTGTTGATGTCTAACTTAGCTTGATATATCTGCGTTAAACGTCTACCTTACTTTGGTATACCAGTATTAATGTCTTACATAATTTGGTTATCTCATAATATCTGTAGGCACACCATCTAATAATAATCAAAGAACCAATCTCGCTTCCTGGACACAACACTGGCTATGTTAACAACCCAATAAGGAGTGTTATTAAAATACAGTTTGGGTGTTCAACTTAAAATTTAAAACCTCTTGTGGCTGTGTAACGCTATTTCACCTAACCTAACCCATCTCACTTAAACTAATATCTCGCCTGACACGTTCACCTAACCTGGTCTAACACGTCTCAGCTAACCTTAAAATGAGATATTAAACTTAAGGGAAATCTGTTTACACTATAATTTTCAGGGATTTTGTGCAATGATAGGAAGTTGGGTCGTTTTTTTTTCTCTGATGTAACCTAGTTCCATCTCCCTAGTTGTGCTCTACTTTTCGATTTGTGGGCGAAAACCGTATCAACTAATGTGCGTGTATGGTGCTCAACCCTTACCTTGATTTGGTCGTCCTTGGTACGGAGCTGATTAATGAGGTGGGCTCTGGAGGCGGCTGCGTCAGGGTGCTGAGCCGCCGACCTTTCCACTATCCGCCTCAGCTCCTCCACCTCCCGCTCTTTATGCGCTGCCTGTAGTCACAAATATTAATGTATTGTTTTTTTATTGTGCCACGTTACCCGGCAGAGGCATTTAATCGATACTTTCGTTAGTTAAGATAGTATACTAAACTGATATTTGCTAATATTTCGTTAAAACTACCACGAACACGACCTTTCACCACCTAATACCAATCCCTGACATTCTCGAAGTTAGTAAAGATTTCAACCTGGAACTCCTTTGTGCTGAGGAAGGCCAAAGTAAATTGGTTTAATGAAACTCTTTGTCTCTTTACCTGTTCATGCGTCAGACAGTCTGTTCACACCAGTAAAAATATCCATTGATTTTTTTTAGCCGGGGTAATTAGCTCAATCCTGACTCATTTTTGCGCGAGATTTTTTCAAGAGCTGATTAGTCCCCAGTGTTCCTAATAAGTTGTCCTTCATTGTTGTTTTAATACAGGAGGAAACTGGAGTACCCGGAGAAAACCTGTCTTAACCTATATCCAGAAAACTCCATAATACAGTAGTAAAAAACAAAATAATAATAGTTTTATATAAAGACAAAATCCTCAACTGCTCGTGTCATCCCGCTGTCACCACTTCTTCATCTTGGCAACAGTTGACCAATAACCATCGTGCAAATATTCAGTTTTATTCTGTAAACATATAAATATATACTAGGCTCCTACTGTTTCACTTGCTGTGCGCCAAGTCAGCAGGTGAGAAAAACCTCAACGAACCGGTACTGACAACTATTTTACTACAAACACTGGTAAAATTGTCGTTATTACAATCCCACTTTTTGATTACTCATCTGCTTCCTATTATACTACTCAGTCTCTCCCTCACCTCCCCTCCTGAACCACACAACTATCTCACCTCTCCCTCACTGGCCGCCAACCTCTGCGTCGCCGCCACGAGCCTCTTCTGTAGGAGTTGGTTCTTACGTAACAGGTCGTAGGTGCTGGGGTCAGACGCCTGTAAACAAGAATAATATATGATAGTATAATATAATAACACTGTAAGCTTCAGGTAAAACAATATTTTATTTTCGTGGTATGTAGTTTTGAGTGACACACACACACACGCACACACACACACACACAAAGAACCTCAGAGAGACATTTAATGAAATAAATGTGAATCATGAAGTGTGACGAAAGGTGGTGTTGGCAGTGAGTTGCAGCCCACGCTTGTCTGTTGCAGCAGCTATATGGCCCTCCAACTCTGTAACAAAAAGTGAGTCACTACCCTGCACGTATTTTTAACCAGTCTGATTCAACGCTGTGGATCAACGTATGGCACACACACATTTAGGGCTACAGCTTCTAACTTAATCATTATTGTAAAAAAAATATACTGTAGCTGTATTAATGGTCGTGTACTGTATAATGTACAGTACATCAGTGATCATGTATATAATCTCGTAAAATTACTTGGCAAAATTCGTAGCTCAATCAACGTCACCCAAACTATAAGAAACGAAAATATAATTACTATACCTATATTCAAATTTTTTTTCGGGATACAGTACTTAGAAATAGTCCAAACAAACCTTTCACTCCCGTCAACTTTTTGGATGTTTACAGGGTAGATGCTTTTTTTTATCCTTAACAGATATTCTTTATTTTGTTAACACTTCAAATATGCCATTAATAAATACTCGATAAGCCGTTCTCCTTTGGCAGTTCCAATGACCTTTATCTAAAAATTTTTGTTTAGTTCAACTTTTCAATTGTTTATTCCTTGATAGAGGAAGCGGGATCCTAGTGCTGTCACTAGGTACCCCTGATCCTAGTGCTGTCACTAGGTACCCCTGATTCTAGTGCTGTCACTAGGTACCCCTGATTCTAGTGCTGTCACTAGGTACCCCTGTTGTTTAGTTTAAATATTTGTTTTACAAGTAATCTCAGCCCGATTTTCTCGAGAGGTCGGTTGTTCACCGGTACGATAAGATCAGAGGGCCACGGACGACGCCTAATATATCAAATTGTGTTTGATGTTACTAAGTCAGTATCCATAATAAGCACCAATCAATATAAAATATAGGCAATATAACAAATTACGACATGTATAATAGGCACAGTATTTTAAGTGTTTATATTGCCAACGACCAGAGACACGAATTTAAGATGCATAGGTCGGTTGACGTTACAATAGGTGAAGTACTGTACCTTGAGGGTGGTCCAGCGGTGGGCCTTCTCTCTACGAACGATCTCCTCCTCCAACACTGCCCGTTTGTTCTGGGAGGCGATCAACTCCCTCTGGAGACGCACCAGCTCCACCTTGAGGGAATCCACCAGCTTCACGTGGCGGGACAGCACCTGCCTCTCGTCCCTACACCAGCCAGAACACAAGTGGAGGAGACAGTTAGTGTAGGCGTGTGACTGTGTTAGTGTCGGCGTGATATAGCTCCTCTTACACCACCACGATAGACAGGCCATACAACCACACGTTATTCAGTGTACAAGAGACTGTGGTCAGGTAATACAGGTATAAATGGTCTTGTGAAAAGTTAATTATAATCAAATTGATTTTTTTCTACTTTTTTATATATTTGTATCTACACCTGTAATGTTGATTCTGAATTAGGTAAATAAACTTCCCCCTCTGGTAATGATACATTGAAGCCTGGATGGCCAAGACGCGAATTATTAGGTTGGTTTAGGCTTCACTCTAATATTAGTACGACAAGAGTGAATACGAAGTCACCTGAGGGCGGTGACCTCGTTGGTGAGGGTGTTGATGTCCTGAAGACGGTTAACATAGTCCTTGTCGCCCTTGTGTAGGACGTGTTCCAGCAGCCTCACTCGCTCCCTCAGGGCCTTTACCTCGTCGTTACGTCGAGCTAACTGTGTCGCCACCACGCCCTTACCCGCCCGCTCCTGTAACACCGCCAGGGAGAGACAGTCACGGAAGCAGACAAAGATAGCGAACACGAGGAGACTAAGCCAAGTGCTGGTAGTGACCACCCGCCTGGCTTAGCTTTAACTAGCTGCTGAATATTTCTTAACACGGGCATAAACGCACCTCCTCCAAGTCTTTTTGCAGGGCCTTGAGTGCGGCCTCCTGGTCATGGAGGACGTGGGTGAGGCCAAGCTTCTCCCCCTCAGCGTACTGGATAGCTCGTTGCCTCTCCTGGGCCACACTCCTCGCCGCCCTCTCCGCCTCCCTCACCTGCTCGTGTTCCCGCTCTAATATCAACACCTCTGTCAGAAGAAAGAATTTGTTGTATAGTGTATAAGACTTACGAACACATGCACAAAGGCCTTAGGAAATACGTTTAAATCCCCCTCCCCCCCCACACCTCCGTCAGGATTACTAAAGCTCCACACGCTGTTTTCTCTAAATGAAGATGTAAGAGCCCATTTAACTTCCCCATTTTAATTCCAACTTAAGACGCACGAATTCAATGGAATACAATCTCAGGTTAACGAATCCTTTGAGAAGTTGGTGATGGGGGGGACGCGCCAAGTTTCCATAGAGCGCAATTTCGCCGTAAACATTTACACGCCGTCTCCCTGACAGTAAGCTGAATCATGTGAGGCAGATAGATCCATCTAGAGTCCCTAAGTGGGACTCTAGATGCATCTTCACGTCTCCATTCAGAGTAATATGTTTGAATCTCTCTAAGAATCTGGTTCAGGTTGACCTTGATAGGCTGAACTCCTCGCCAGATATTCTTGCGTAACTGATTTGGCTTGTGTTGCACCGGGTGCCAAAATGCTCACTGCCCAGCTGAGCGCTGATATTATGATGGTGTACAGTGTTTACTAACGTGTTTATCTGAGTCTTACTCCTGTTATCTGGTAATAATTAAATATTTTAACCAGAGTTTATTTGATTCGCTAGATATTTATTGTACGTGTCTAAACTATTAAATACTAATCTGTTGCAATTTTCCATCATAGTAAAAACGCAGCACGGGAATTAATAGTTGATTGTGTGTGGAGCAAAACCTGGAGCCGGGATACGCCACAACGTAGCCACCTGACTGGAGGTGCCGGGGATCGAACCCGGGGCCTCTCACATGCAAAGCGAGCGCTCTACCACTGAGCTACACCCCCTCATGCTAAGAGTAACCTATAGTAAATATTTACTTTGAAACTTTCTGTACTTTTTGTACTGCAGAAAAAAGTTTAAGGTTCATCTACTGTATATATGTTTAATGTACAAATATTGGTAATAAATATGTAGTGTTAATTTTGTATTATAAAAAATAATCCTCACACAAGGTGTCCCATAAATTCAATAATGCACTAGAGAGTTACGTTAAGAACCATACTACCACCTCCCCACCCCTCTGTGATTCCCCCGTGTCGTGTGTCACTCGTGTGGCCAAGCACTGAAGCAGTAATAAATGAGTGTGTGTGTGTGTGTGTGTGTGTGAGGCACGTGTAGCAGTACCATGCGGTGGCGAGCGGCGTGGCTGCCCAACACTTGCCCACCCTCACCGGCCTCACTATTCACTTATCAATCATCCTATATGTTTTTATAATCAGTTATCTCGTAAATTAATATTATTATTGTTATTTATCTTTCAAGGATATCATTAGAAATATACCTCGAATAGCTAGTATGCCACTGTATACCTGCTGAATTAATGTAAACTTGTAGCTTCCGGACTGACTGAGAGGTGTGTTACGCACTTAATTACCATATCACAGATCATTAAACAAAACAATCATCAAATATCAGTGTCACGTATATAAATACCTGTATATTACAATCTAGTGTAAATTACTATGTCGTATTTCACTGTAATACTTGTTTCAGCAGTGAGTTGGCAGATTCTCTATACCCCAGTGGAGGGGGAGGTGAGCCGATAAGAGTTCTTTTTTAGTTCGGACATGAGCCAGTTCAAACGTGGTAAGACAGTATTGCACATCCCTTTCCTTCTGTTTTTTTAGTTAATTAGTGTTACTATTCTTTTAACACGCTTTATCAATATTAAATAATTATTCTTATACTCTACCTTCCTTACTTAAGTGTACTCGGTGACTCACTTAAATGGTATGTTGCTTTTGTAATTCATCTCTAGTGCCGCGTAGCTAAGATAGTGAACGGCCTTTGTTTCCATTGTATCTGTCAATTTAGCACCTATCTAATAAAGTACTTCGTTTTTTCGTTCGTAGACTGGTAACAGATAACATTTAAATATCTCAAGGGTGACAAGAGCGTAACACGACCACCACTGAGGATGTGAACCCCATGACCTTGTGGGTGGCAGCCTCTTAGGTCCTGACAAGCAATTGACGCAAGCCCTGACTGTCTCGCCCCCTCCTCCTCCAGGCGCTGAGGGTGCAAGGTTAGTCAGTGGTAAACATGAGGGTAATGAGTCCATTATTCATGCTGAAGGTCCCTAATGATGTCAAATGCTACCACACGCCTATCTGTAGAGCTGTGTAGGAGGTGTATTTGGTCATGAAGGATGGCCTTAGGTGTTGGAACGTGTCATACTGTAGTGAGGAAGGAGATGGCAGTTGAGGCTCCTAGCACAAAGTTTACGTGCAGTGCCGCGTGGGTAGTCAAAGTATTCCTGGTAATATACATATTCAAGGGACACATCTAAATCTGGCCTCGTATATACAATATATTGAGACCGAGTCAATTTTTTGTAATGTCGATTTGATAACCAGCAACTGCGTCGTAATGAGTCAATGTAAAGCTAACATTGAGATATAAATATGCGTCCAGTGATTGTTGAATACCTCGCGGTGTTTGTGTATTCAATATGTAAACAAAAATATTCTTCGTGGTTTGTTTCTTTAGCGAGACGATGAACAGTGTCACAGGGTGCAGTACCTACGTGGAGAGAATACGTGCAGAGTTGCTCGACACGGAGTTAACGGATTCATCAAGCGAGGGTGTGTAGCACCTTGCAAGTGCGGATGTGATGTTTCTGTTAATTGAGAAGTCCAGTGGAAATGCTCCAGACGTGTGGCATAAAAAAATAACCCAACTTCAGTGAAAAAAAAAAGAGGCCCGAAAAATCACAATCCGCAACATCAAAAGTTTAAGTGAAACGCGGCCCAGGCAACAATGTTCAATTATACCAACGCGTTTGACCCTCCACCTTAACCAATGAAGGGTTGGGTGTCTGTTCCAAATGTTAAACTTTGTGTGATATTTGCGCAGCAACAATGTATGACAAATGTTTATTCTGATTTTACGTCAAGTTACAAGGAAAGAAGGATGTTGATGAGTATAGCTGGACACCAATGTTCGGTATTTTGAAGAGCTTGAGTTTATAATACTGCGGATAATGCTACTGTACTACTTCGAAAAGTTTGACCTTTTTGATGTACACCTTGTGGTTTGTGGGTCCCGGACAAAGCAGTAGTGTGTTCATGGGTGCTGGGACCGGCAGGTGGACGGAGCTAAAATGCCCTCGCTCTGACGTCACAGTCCCGTGTGTTGACTGGGATGGGTACGTCCTCTGTGACCCGTGTACAGCTTACAAATTTCTCCAAGAAATATTAGGAACATACTCACATACAGCCGTCTAACGCAGTGGCTTGTACTTCATATTTAATCCAGTTTATATTCCGTTATTTAGTTATAGTAATAAATTACAATGTTAAAAACACCTTAGTTTCCAGCGACCATCAAATTTACAAGAAATGTGGTTAATAAGAATATACAAACCTTACTTCCACCTACTCTTGGGGTAGGTGGGTCATGTTTACATATTTTGATTACCTAAACGTGTTGATATTGAGAGTGTCTTTACCCTTCCTTGGAGAGAATGGTGCCTGCTGAGCCCTCGAGCGGCCACACCTTTATAGCGAACATTGACGTGAGCGAGTGAGCAGTGGTAAGCGAGACTTGTATCTAGTACAGCACTTACCTCTTTCTTGATGTTCTGTATCGTGCCTTATATATTTAAAGTGTTGTGTTATATGAATAGAATAAATAATAAAGAATTTTTTCGTGGAACATTTAGACTTGTGAAATGTTTCACCTGGCATTTGCTGCTGGGGTTGTCACGTGAATTAATTGGCGTGGCAGCAATTTGTATTTACAATGAAAGTCAATAATGTGCCGCTAACATTATCTACGCTCGTGTGGGTTAGTCGCTGTTACCTGGTGGCAGCTCCAAGCAGCCTCTCTTATCAGACACTAACTCAACTTACGAAAGGAATTTTATACTAACAGCATTAATACAACTGAATGACGTAAATACAGTTAAGGGATTCTTCCTTCTATTTACGGTCATAAAAAGTTATTGCTTCATTGTAGACTAGAGCTCGTGTGGGAAACACTGTGGACCCGTAAGAGTAACCACAACGCTGTAATGTCCTCACTGCAGTACTTTTGTAACTGTATAATATGTATTGTAAGTTGCGACAATGTTTCTTGGCTTGGCTCCCGTGAAGGCCTTTTAATATGGTGCGAGGATCTGCGGCCACTGGTGAAGGAGTGTGAATGTAACAAGGATGTGCGAACAAAGAGGAAGTAAGAGAAAGTAGGAAGAGAGTGGTTAACGATAGGCAAAGTCCAGCCATGACAGTTAATTCCTTTTACTGGGTCGTATCAAATTGCCTGGGCGAGCAAAGTTTGTTTTCTCAAGCACGGGGTCAAGATACCCTCCCCCCCTCCAAACCCCGCAACTCACGCATCGCACACGCTTGCTTGGGCCGCAACTCCTTTGCACAACGGATACAAACGACCCACTTGTAACACTGATCTAGGCTAACTCCAGAAGTCGTCTTGGTTTACTGGGATATAAAATGTGACGTTAACCTCTTAAGTATGGCCAAAAAATACCCTGCGATGTCTCGTATGAAGTGAAAAAAGATTTGATATGACAAAAACTGTGTTCAGTCTCCTTTATCCAGTGCACCTTACCGCGCGCCCCTTGATGAACCTTGGTATGCAGAGGTTTTGGTTAACACTGTTTGCCTTGAACACTTACAATACTTCCGTTGGACAGCTTCCATATAGTAGTAACCATCAACAGAAGCGGCTGACGGATGTATAACAAACTCTAAAAATATTACAAAGAAATATTCCATTCATTTTTTCTGTAAATAACAATACTAAATAATTCTTAAGGTAAAACATCTTTGATGCTATGAAGAAAAAACATGAAACACACAAGATATTTAATCACTTCCAAACAAAATAATTTTACGAAAATCTCCTCACATAATGAACAGCATAAATGTGTATGAGGGGCAAAAGAAAGACTGTTGAAAATTGGTCATTAAGTTATGGCGTCATCCGCGAGTTTGGTCTCCAGGGAGTCTAGGGGGTGACTCATTTAATAGACGACCAAGTTGAGTTCTTCAATCTGTACCGACAACATAATTCCCGTGTTTGTAATGCATTGAACAGTGTGGCCGTGACCAGCCAGCGATCGTGCTCAAAACAAGCAGCTATTTTATCTGCTGTCAGCTTATTAAAAGAGAGGTTACCCTTTTTTTTCTTTTCACGATTTCACTGTTATAAGCCGATGTTTCTGCCTGGCATCACGAGCTTGCGTGCCTGCCAGAATTCTGGAGATAAATTGTTGGTAAACCTATAAATCATTTTCGCCGACGTGACCATTTAACCAACCCGTCGTAACAAAGTTCTAGTGTTCATTTATTATTTATGACTTCAGTCTTTGTATACAGATTGAGATTAATAATAAAACCTGTGGAGGATAAGAAATACGTACATCACTTGATACTGCCACTCGACTGGGGTAAATATCAGCCTGAAGGAGTAATGTCTTTTGCGACGACACTGACTAATGTGACAACTGCCAAGCGTAAATCAGCGGGTTTTTTCGGTAATAGTGGATAAGGTGAGCCGACCACATTGGACGCGACCTGTCAGTGTGGGGCAGCAAAATAATTTTCCCGTTTTCAAAATTGGCTGTCACACCGAAACCAAGCTAACGAACGAGCAAAAATTGGACAGCTATCAGAGGTGTTCAAGAGTGAGATAGATGAGCATAAAGCTATACCCTGCAAAACTGCCATACAACCTCACATTTAATACTGACGGGTTTTAACATCTCTATACTGAATAAGACGATGTAAAAAAAATTGCTATGATAAGAGGAGACAGACAGACAGACAGACGCAAACACGAATACACATGTCCGTTTAAATGCTCAGAGAAAAAAAAAAAATACAGTATATCCGTTCGCGGAATCCGTGTGTTACCTCTGCCACCCCCAGTGGAAAACGATCCAAGTTGGCAACGTGGAGTGTTGCCGACCATGGAGTTGATGTAAACACTGCTTTCAAATAGGAACCTTACCTGGCCTAATACCTGTGTAAGTATAACGGGAAGATGAACCTCAGGGATGACGTTATGGTTGAGGTGTGACTGTCATGCTAGTTGACGATGTGTGTGTGTGTGTGTGTTTGTCCACTTACCAAAATTGTTGACAACCCCTGAAATAACTTTGAAATATTAACGTATTTGTAACTTGTGTAGACTGCACATAGCTGTGATTTGCAGGTGCATTAACCCTGGGAAGAAAACTCGCAGAGGCGCTATTTTCTTCAGTGATGAGGCTTTATTTTGTTTCTTTTTTAACCTTGGGAAATTATGTTCACGAGATATCAAACCCGAAGAATCTCAACCCCAACTTATTTCACCTAAAGATAAACCACCCTGACGCTAACCTAGCTTAACCTAACCTAACCAAATCTAAAAAGAATAAGTTGTCCTTTGTTTAGTTTGCTTCCTAAGCCTTTTTTTTTCGTTTTAAAAAGCTATACACTGTTTATAGAAGAGTATCCATTTGTTTATTTCTTTCTCTGGAACATTCTCAATGACAAATTGAAACCTTTTTAAACAGGACTTATAATACCTTTGACAAGATATTGAGGTGTATTATCACAAACTATATTACTTACTAAATATTTAATGTACTATTTTGGGCGCTGGAGCCAAACATGTATTTGATTAATAATGAGTGTCACTCGACTGAATAAATTATTAAAGAAATAAACTGCAGAGGGTAGAAATACTTAGTACAAGCCGGTGAAACTAACAAGATTGGCCTTCCTTATATCTTTGTTGTTCTTACACCCTTTGCAGTTCTTGACGTATCAATACAACCAGAATGTAGACGACGGAACACGAAGCATTCTAGGAAGTGCAATAGTGCTGACTCACAAATTCCGATCAGTTGGACTGTTAGTTCAGCTTGAACGGTTTCTGAAGTGATAAGAGGTTATTGTGGAGTCACTTAGTTATAGCTGAATATTTCTACTCGTTCTGGGTCCCGAAATTAGGATTTTTAAACATGGATTCAATAATTGAATCAAGGGGAAAATTTCAGTATGTACATTTCATATCCTGTCATTACTGAGTTTAGAGTTACACGCCAGAGTTTACGTAGACTGTATGGCGTACACCACGGACACGGTCTGTGTACAAGCACCACCACAACCATATCGACTGTTCCAGGGGAGGCACTCACAAATTCCCGGCGGGGTCGATCAGATTCATTGACCCTTCGTGGCCACTACCTATATTAACTCAGTCACGACAGGAGCCCGACATACATTCCAACACTCGGAGGTATTTTATTGTTGTAAATTATGTTAGCGTCAGTGGCGAACACAGTCTGGTCTCTGTGTGACTTGGGGTGTGGAGCGTTGAGAGGGAACATTCCTCCCTGAAAATAAATTTAAAATTTTCATGCAACGAATGAGTTGCATATTCTTGCAGAACGTTAAGGAATGCACACCTCTACCGAGTAGCGTGTTATGTAAATTGATCTTTTTTTAATTTGAAACTGAAATGCGAAGAAAATTATTACAGAAATTAGTGTGAAGTTATTTTAACTAGATGTTTATCAATCTCAGGAGCCACATAAAAACACATTGGTCGATAGATGATTATATTAAGTGGGCACGACGTTTCCAGTGAGTGTCCCTATAGTCAGGACTCCCCTGCTGTAGGAATGGATTATAGGGAGGTATATCCGACGTAGCTAACATTTTTCTTAATATATAAATTCTCAATGATTTGCCGCCAACTCGTAGCTCGTTGGCTAGCTTCTCGTGCACTTACCTGACGTGATCTTCTGGAGGTCGTGGTCGCGGGCGTTGAGGTTCTGCTGCAGTTTGGTCACCAGGTAGCTCGCCTTTTTAGACTCATCCAGCACCTCCTCCTTCTCCGTCTACAAGTGGGAGAATATAACCATGTGAGCTGGACAAGGTGCATAGGGGGTGGTCACGGTAAAGTCAACTATCCTTGCACGGAGGTAATTTACACTAGGCTGCAAAAAACTTAGGATAGAGTAGACTAAAGATACCTTGTAGACTACACGCTATAGTAACACCCAAAAAAAATAATGCTTGCAGGTTATACACTAATATGTAGATAATGCTACAGCCATATTTAATTACTGCAAATCATGTAGTCGGTTTAGTGAGACACGCTGATAAACTATATACCATAAACTAACTGTATCCTTACACAATAATATATCCAGCCTAATTTGCACACCCAAGTTTTACATAGTAACCAATTAACAGTGCATTAAAATTTATGATGGTAGTTTTATAAGAAGCATTCACCCAATCAGATATGTGTTCTAGCTAATGAATAAGTTCGCTATAACATAAGGAAGGTAAAGCTTAATTTATATTGATGATATAGATAACCATTTACCTTGACGTTTCTGAGCTGTCTGCCGATGGTAAAGTTGTCCGTCTTGAGGGCATCCACGAGGGCGTTAGACTGCTGGAGGTGTGCCCGGGTGACAGCCTGGGTATGGAGGGCACGCTGTACCTCTCTTCCCTGTGTCTCAATCTCTGCTGCCAAATCGACTACTCGAGACTCCATCCTGGTCGTTTCCTCCAGCTGTCTGTCAACGTCACACCGTACAATGCCTACACCAGACTCACACATAAATGCTTTTTACACGCGCATTATACAGGAGATGACATTGTACTGCATATAATTATTATTTTATTCGCGAAATTTTTTACTTCACATATATGACTATATTTCTATAAGCATATATTTATTTTCATGCCGATTGAAATGAAAAATATTCCCTCGCGATGTGTTTTCGTTCCATCGGTTTAGTGTTCATGTCAAGTGTATGTTTAAGCGTGGCGTAACTGCATCAGATCACCTGAAGATTAGCCGCCCCCAACTTATTGTACCTGATGATTAACACCCTAATTCTACTTGGGTTTTAAGGTTAAGTTAGCGTGGTTAATCTTGGGATGAAATAACCTTAGGGATAGTCCTCAGGTGATCCAATGCAACATAAGTGTGAGTGAAGGATACACTCAAGTACCTGTCCCTAGTGTGCTGGAGGGCGGTGATGAGGCCATCCTGCTTGGTGATGTCTCGGCGGGTTCGTGCCAACTCTCGCTCAGCGTTCTGCCTCTCCATCTCCCTGATGTGCACCAGACCAGCGTGTTTCTGTACAGTACCTGGCGGGACGGTGGAGCAAGTTACCAACAACAGAGTACATATAAGTAGTACAATATTAGTGTAAATACTTGCCGCCCCTTCAAGCTGCAGCGCATGCAGTTTATACACCATGATAGATTAATACTGCACACACTTACGAGATGTGACTCAATGTTGATCCAGATAAGGTGATCCCAAGTCTGTTGATCCCGGTTTGGCCTCACGCAAGACCCCCAATCAACATAAGTACCTACCAAGGGTGTTCACGCAGGTGTATGCAATACCAAGTGACCATATAAGACTATTAAGTGTTACGGGTATACCTACCAAGGGTCTTGACGTAAGTGCGGTGTACGACGTCCCTCTCCCGCTTGAGTTTCTCCGCCTGTCTGCCCACCTTCAGCCTTTGCCTCTCCTCCGTCTCCGCCTGCTTCTCCGCCACCTGCAAGAAAATGAAAAAGTGAATGATAATATGTAACTACTAATACAATCTCAAGAGGGATAAATAGTTTGTGAAACTCAAGTATAGGCTTAAACTTTGTGAAAATTTCTCTGAGAAACACAGACAAAACTAAAATAAACTTTTCAAGAACCACAATGACGATTTCTCCAGTGTTGAAGAAAAGATGAAGTCGTCGGGTCGCACAAAAATGTCAGGGAGGACAACCAATGGGAGAAATTTTGCTTCATTTTAATGCCACGCGGCCAAGGTGGTGTATACCTCTGAGCCCCAGCTGCAAGTGAAGATGCTGGCGGCAAACGTTTCTAACTAATGGAAACAAACCACCACTAAACACTGTCTGATTTTAGCAGTAATGGCTCACTGAGCACTGCTATTGTAGCCTAAACTGGACTATTATCAATTTGGGGAACAATCAGTGGGACGTTTCTGTGAAAATCAGTTATAGTGAAGGTATGTTCTCATTCGCTGGAGCGGCACAACAAACTGATCCAGCAAGTGACATCGTAGTAATTAAGATAAAAAATAAACCTTTGAATCTTTGAGAATCAGGACCCAAGTGTGTGGCCACGATTCCTTTAATAAGATATACAGTACCTTGAGGTGGCCACGGAGATTCTTGACCTGGTCCTCGACGTCCGCTCTCCGCTGGTCCTGGCGATGCACAGTCTTCTCCAGTTGATCATACTGACGCCTGGCCAACGACGACTCCTTCTGCAACCTTACGATGTCCTCCTCCTTCAGCTACTCCGCCATGAGGACAGGAAATTATTAGTCCGTCAATAATGAGGTGAACATTTTTGTAGTACTGTACACACGTCTTTCTCTTTATTCATGCTTCTTATACACTCCTTTCCTCTCACTATCCCTTCCTCTCCTCTCTCTCCCACACACTCACCCTCCCAATTACCCTCCTCACCTTCAGGACGCTGGCAGTATCTTTGTTAGAAGCCTCAACTCGGGCCAGGACCCGGGAACGCGACTCCACTTCTTTCTTCAGTCGTGTCACCTCCTCCTTCCCCTCCTCCAGTTGCCGACCAATCCCTTCACGCTCCTCCTGCAAAACGTGTGTAATGAGTATTGTTCATCCACGATTTATCATCATTGGTCTTCGCCCACGTCCTCTCCTCACCACTTCGTCCATACCCTCCTTTACGGATTCTTGTTTATATAAATAAGTGTTGTATAAATATATAAGCATCAATCTAGCTCTTAATAGCTTTACTGTTTAGCCCGGCATGTATCATGTACAGGTAGGTGCAATAACCCCAGAAGCCCAGACGTTACCTCTGACGACAGATGCATTCATTCAACAACACAGCCTAGTATATACCGCAGACATGGACCATTTGAAGAATAGCCCTCAGCTTATTTCACCTGATGATTAAACACCCCAACTTTACCTTGGGATTAGGTTAGGTCAGATTGGGATGGATTAGGTTAGGTTATGTTAGTTAAAGCTACATTAGATAAGGTTAGATTAGGTTAGGTAAAGTTAGCGTCAGGGTGGTTAATTATAGTTCTTTAAGGAGTATAGTGTCGCAATGTGTTTATTCAGCTGAGAAAAGCTCTTGCCACTCAATGGGTTAAGGCGAAATAAGCTGGGGGCTAATCTTAAGCTGATTCACTAACACAAGTTTGTGAATCACCTCTTTGTGATTTCATGCATGTTGGTTAAAATCTTCCCGGCAGACGAAACCACTCGCAATTTTGTTTTTATATTTACTGTTTTACTTCCACTTATAATACGCATAACACGTGTTTATTTTGACGTTGTATTATATTTGAATAAACTACGTCCTCTGAACCTTGGACAGGCCCGCATGAAGGAACACAAAGATAGCGAGTTGTGTGGTTGGTGCGCCCGGAGCTTAGTACAGTACAATCATCTGAGCCTAGCCAACACCCGCACCGCCACCTACCACCACTACTACAACCACTCATGTTATTTAGCTCATCTCTCTCTTGTTTATTGTAGTGATAATAAAGGTGTGTATGTTAATATGCGTGTGTGTTTGTGTGCGTGCGTGTCACTTGTCTATACAGTCACCAGTGAGAGGGGATACACGTAAGATTTTTTTTTATTGCGTGTCAGAGTGATGCCCCTGAGACTATTATTATTATCAGAGTTATTCCATCATAATGACTCATGCCACCGAGCTTTGGGGTAAAAATAACAGATTTAATTAAAACTCGTAAGAAATAATTCGTGTCATTCGAGTACTGTTCTTTCTATCCAACTTAATTTTTGTGCGATTAGATTATACAAATTTAAATCTCATTATGTTTATTTATGAAAGCAATTATTTGAGAAAATTTAAAAGACTTATTTTTGAGGTTGAAATAAACTTATAATTGAAGGCTATTCATAGAAAACTTACAAAAAAATTCAATTAATTCCTGGTGAAATTTCAAGAACTTTTTCTATATTAGTACACGAGTTAAATATACCACAAAGCAGAGTTACCGTCAGGATCTAGAATATGTCAGGATTTTAATATATTTTTATCATTTAGTGAATGTACACTACCATAATTGAGTGGTAAAAGGTCTGTGAATTACATTTCGTATTACTGATGTAGTAGCGACCATGTGTGTGTGCGTGTGACGTCTTGGTGGTGGTGTGGTGACGCAGAGACAGACACTCAAACTGACAGACACAAGCAGAAAAACAGTGCGTAAGTTATGTAGTGCCGTGAAATATGTTCCACACCTGTGTTCTTAAGAGACAGAGAGAAACAGACAAACAAACACAGACAGAGAAGCTGAGTGCGTATGTTATGTAGTGCCGTGAAATATGTTCCACACCTGTGTTCTTATCAAGACCTCAGGGAAACACCTGTGTACATGATCAGCTGTTAGCGTCACACGTGTACAGTATTGTAAAAACACTTCCCCCGGTCACTTGCAGTCATACCAAATCGCGGATTACATGAAGATTAGCCACCCCAGTTTATTTCACCTAATGATTAAACACCCTAATGCTATTCAGGGGTTAGGTTAGGTTAGGTAAGGTTATGCTAGGTAAGGTTAGGTTAGGTTAGGTTAGGTTAGGTAAGGTAAGGTTATGCTAGGTAAGGTTAGGTTAGGTTAGGTTAGGTTAGGTAAGGTTATGCTAGGTAAGGTTAGGTTAGCGTTAGAAGGTTAATCTTAAGGTGAAATATTTTAGGGGAGGCTAAACTTCATGTGATTCCAAGACTTTTCAGTATGGGTAACGCTAAGGTGAATCCGGGCAGCTGTGGTGAGAAGGTAAGCGTTGTTCCTTATTTAACTAGACGAGTAAGGGTGCATTGTCCTCACTCAAGCTACGACAAGATAATAATAACCAAGATCTCGTCAAAGCTGTATTGAGACTACCTAAACACGTTGTCTCATTCAGCGGAAAATACCACGAGAGCTTCTGAGAATTATGTATCCGTTCGTATGTCAGTTATTTTTTCCTTCTAATTAAGGAAAAAGGGAGAGTAATAGAGAAGTTAGTTTAATAAATAAGGTTTAATAAGTAAGGTAGAAATAAATAAGGAACACGTTTTCGTTAATGTGATGCGTATTTATTCTCATATCAAGGAGAACGATCTCTCTCTCTCTCTCTCTCACTCTACGCCAACACGTACTTAAGGATCAAGGTCAAGTGGCCACCAGCATCTTGGTTGTCATGGCTACAACACTCGACTCTGACGTCATTCCTGGAAAATACCACTCCAGTAGGCGGACAAGATCGTGAGACACATGGGTTACAGGATCTGATTATACTGTGTGGGATGTGATTGGTTCATTCTACATCACCTGGAGGGTGTGATTGGTTCATTCTACATCACCTGGGGAATGTGATTGGTTCACTATACATCACCTGGAGGATGTGATTGGTTCAGTCTACATCGTCTGATAAATGTGATTGGTTCATTCTACATCACCTGGAGGGTGTGATTGGTTCATTCTACATCACCTGGGGAATGTGATTGGTTCACTATACATCACCTGGAGGATGTGATTGGTTCAGTCTACATCGTCTGATTCTACAAAGGGTGTGATTGGTTGATTCTACATCACCTGGAGGGTGTGATTGGTTCATTCCGCATCACCTGGAGGGTGTGATTGGTTCATTCTACATCACCTGGAGGAGTCCACTACACCTTCTAATCTTTGTCACAGGGTTTCAGCTCCACGATTGGCTCCAAAATCCTGTACCTATAGAATACGTCACAAGATCTTGATTAAGGGATTGGTCCATCAAACCTAAATCAGCCTAATGAGCCAAGACGCCATCTTTGACACAGACACGTCCACATACGCCCTCTATGACACATTCCAGTAATACCTTCTGTGCCTCAAGGGTCTTTGATTTATCCTCGACGAGTGTGTGGAGGTTCCTGACGAAGGTTTGGAGGTTGGTCATCTCCTGTTCCAGCCCCTCAGCAGCCTCGTACTGGGCCCTCAGCTCCCCCTCCAGCCACTCTCGTTCCCGCTGTTCTTTCTCTACGTTGTCCGTCAAAGCTTGGTTCTCTCTGCGGCAGAACACAAATTATTGAAACCTTTGTGGGTGAATTATTTGATCACCTAAAGATTAGCTCCAAAGCTTATTTTACCTGAAGATTAACCACCCTAGCGTTAGGTTAGGTTAACGTTAGATTAGGCTTGCGTTGGGTTAGACTAGCGTAAGGGTGGTTAATCTTTAGGTGAAATAAGCTTGTGGACTAATCTAAAGGTGATCTAATTTATTTTATGATTGTCACTTGGATAGGTTAACACGAAGTACTGTTTATTCGACTTACTGCTGGTGGAACCCTGTGACTCGCTGACTCTGGCGCCGATTCATTATTTGTAGAATAATATATTGAGTAAAACCGGGAAGGTGAACACGAAATATTGATTATTTTAACCACGAGAACAGAATTATTTCCCGGTTCTATTATCGTCACAACAAGAGATATTGATTGTGTGTTTCATGTTTGTGAATGAATTATTTATTAGGTACAGAAGAACATTAATCTTAACATAATACCTGTAGGAGGGAAGTAAGTTATCGATTGACTATCCGACAGAGTGTGGTTCTTCCCTGAGGCAGCTCGACAACGATCATTTATTTATGAACGGCTGAGCCAGATACACCGCAAGTTCTCTCATAGTACTTATAGACTGTAGACACGCACACGGCCAGAAGGCTGTATTATTTTGTATTTTTTTTTTACGGGCATTAGCCCACCCGGCCACAGGTCATTTTATAATGACCCACATCAAGACCGGGGGGCGAAACTATAATAAAATTATAATAATTATAAAATTAATAATAAATAAATAAACATATATAACAATTATAAAAAAATATTAACTTTACTAATATTTTTTAAAATAATAACAATTATAATACAGTAATAATAATAATAATAATAATAATAATAATAATAAAGAGCCATAAATAAATCTAAAAATTAAACAAATCAAGAGTGAAAAATGATGTATGTTGTGTTGTGTTGTCAAAGTAAGGGAAACAATCAAGACCCTGCAATTGTGTGTAAATGGGGCAGAGTCAGATCATCAACCTGGGACTTGGTCACAATTTTTTAGGTGCCATATGGCAGCAGGGTCTACCATTAGACAATACATTATGCTTCCAGTGTCTTCCCAGGCGGTAGTACCTCCCTGTTTGACAGCTGATGATTTGTGTTACTGATTTAAAATACACGCTTAGGTTAAGTTAGGTTAGGTTAGGTTATAACATCAAGATCTTAGTTACTGAAGCGTAGTAATACATTATAACATCAAGCGTAGTAATACAATTATATACGTACATATTCATACGCCGAAGATAAATTATGCATGTATGAAACTACACACACACACACACACACACACACACACCCACACACTTGTACCCAGTCACCCACGATGTCATTCTAATGTACTCACACGCTCAGCGCACCCACACACCCACGAGACCTACCTGGTGAGGGTGTCAATGCGGCGTTCCAGGTCCTTACGGGCCATGAGTGCTTGAGACCTGGGTACCGAGGTGGCCAACTGCTGGGTCAGGGCGGTCACAACCTCCCTCGCCGCCGCCGTCTCCGCCCGCGACGCCTTCAGTTGTTCCTCCAGCTCCTCTACCGTCACGCTGGGGAGGGATGAGTAGAGAGGGACGGATGGATAAGGGGGAAGGGAGGGAGGAGAGAACCAAGTAAATAGGGAAGGATGGAGGAGGGGGGAAGAGAAGAAGGGAGGGAGGAAATGATAAAGGTTGGGGAAATGTTGAGGGAGAGTAAAGGAAGAAAAGTTCAAAGAAAGAGGGAAGATTTAGAGGATAGGGGAGAGAGAAGGAGAAGAGAGAGAGCAGGGAGATGGAGGGAGGAGAGACAAGGAGGAAGTGGAAGCATAAAAGCAAATAAAAAACAAATACAGCATTTATCACTCGACACGTAGAATTTATAAGCAAGAGTATATTATAACATAGTACAATAGACTTTGCACAGATTCAATAAAAACAAAAGATGTCGCCAATTATGAGATTATGAGAATTACTGTCAGCTGCGATAAAACTACAGTAATGTAAAAAAAAAAGTACGTTTCCTCGGCGTCGGTTGCCTGAGGGGTTGAGACTGCCACAGACGCTTCATCTTGCTGGGGTTGATCCTCAGACCCCGCGTCCTGGGGGGCAAAAACACGCGGGGTAGAATTAGATAATAATCAGAAGTCGTACAAACTGGTTCAAGATGTGTACAAATGCCAAATCATAAGTACATAACGATATTTACAGCTGGAAAGCCTGACATATATACATCAGTTATAATTTGATGCTAAATAGACTATTACAGAACTATGATTACGGAAGACAATACATCGTTTTATAACTTTATATTGTATGTTTGGTAAAATTAGAATAGCTCGCCAGTTAGTGCAAGTTCGCTGTGGCACCATCTTAGAGAATATAAATGAATAGTATTTGAATAATAATATCACTGATAAAGTATTTTGGTATTTATATTTATTTGTCAAATAATTTGAGGAAATAACTGAAGTTTAACTATTAAGGCTTTGCAGGTAGGGCTTACCATTGCAGTGTCTGTCATCTTTGTCACACTCCGTCCTCTTCACACATCACAACTGCCTCTATAGTTCCCCGTGTATTGTCTACATCCTGCGTTAGGTGCTCGTACTGTGGATATACTTCATTTTAAGTAATATCCAGCAAAAGTAGCCGTGAACACACTGTCATCTGTCTGGCGTCTCCGTCTCCATGGCGACCACCTCAGCAAGCTAAAACGCCTGCGCAGTGATAAAATTCACTTGTTTTGTCACACACACACACACACACACACACGTTTTTGTGAATAATATAGTGATGATGCCTTGCCGTATTAGTTATATATCAAGCGACACTGAGATTTAAATATTATACAGAACATCCATGAGCTGTACCTCATTATCACTTCGGTTTGACTTTGGGAAATTCTTACTATTTTTCCGTTATTAGTGATAAGAGAACCAATCGTTGCGGTGACTACAGAAAATTACAGTCTCGAAATCTTGGGGAAGGTAAATACTGTACTTAATCCCCGTGTATATTCTCAGTACAAATCTGCTTCAGTCTATATACTGTACAAAATAACACTTTCACACACCTCTACTATCTATGGTCTGACAACGGCTCCGGGTGTAGCAACGACACAGCTTATCACCTGTCAGGCTTTATCACACGGATATAACAATTACTTATTATGGCATATTGGCATTAGGCATTAGGCATTAACCAGCTTCTAGCAGATACAACATGTCAATTATAAAGTATATCAATTATCAAAAGGAAAACCTGATTAGATTAGTCAGTGTGGCAGCTACTCGATAAACACTACTCTTATCGCAGAAATGTTGTGTATTCTTTACTCTTATCAAGTTTATTTTATTAGTGATAAAACAGATGCCAGAGTTCCAAGAGAATTAATAATGGCTGTTAGAATAATTTTTTTTTTTTTACGTATAGGGAATAGTTGTAGTTATCATGCGTGAGCGACATGGAGTAAGGTAGATAAAGGTGTTACATACACCCCTCGGCAAGCGCCAACCACACTCTGTTGTTACACAGCTCATGCCCCCCTACTGCCCCTGCTTTGATTAAATGCACACACCTCTTTCATATTGCAGTAGGTAAATACGAATATTAGATTAATTAGGGAGGACTAATAAATGATTGATGTTAAGTGAAGGTACCTTTAAAACTCACCTGTGTCAAGATACGAATTTTTCGGCCATATAATTTTTTATCACTAGTTCTATTCCAGCAAAAATATATTGAGTCTTTACTGTGACTAGACCTTGAATTAGTTTCATGCAATCAGTGCTTATATTTGCAAAGCAACGGATTTGTTTTAGCAACAGTAGTTTTCTTGACGGAGCGTCAGGTATGTCGAGAATTTTCCAGGTGTCGGATATTAATTCAAGTAATTCATTATATTCGATTTTGATTCATCCCTGATAATTTCTTGTTATTAAATTAATTTTAATGAAGCTGGAGTAATATTCTTAGCTATTATAACCATGCGTTTTCTTCTTCGAAAAAACAAATAAACACGCGGCAGATAGAAAACTGTTTTCTCCCACGCGTGACCGTACACCATATTTAGCTACATTATTTATACTCATGCTGAACTGTATACCTGATTAATCTGTATAAATATCTATGTAACTGTATATCTGTATGATAATTTTAGTATAGATATTATTTAGGTAGTGAGGGAGGGAAGGTACGCCTGCCTCGCCTCATGCTCGAGCATTGTGGGTCTGGATCGAAGCAGCAGCAGCAGCAGCTCACTGAGGGAGACGAGTGTCGCTTGGCTCTAGGAGGCGGACGTCTGCTCTCAAGTCCCTGCTATCTTTTCCTCTGTTCCACCTTCTTCGCATCTTTTTCATCATGTCGGCGCATGACCAGATGCGTGCGATGCTTGACCAGTTAATGGGGACATCCAGAAATGGTGAGTATGATAATTGACACATTATACTTCTCAGGTGGACAGTTTGTTGGGTAGAAAGTGGATCAGCGCAGGAGCAATTGCTCTGACAACAATGGCGATCTGTGTAGGGAGTAAATATCCAGTTGCTTCCTTGGCAGAGGGATTTTTTACTCTCAGACACGATCGATGAGTCTTACAATAACATTCTGACTTTGAACTCTGTCATCAGATGCAATGTGAAGTGCTCTCTGATAACACTAGTAGAGGCTGTAGGGTAGACGTCATCAGCGGCATTTGAAGTGATTAGTTGTAATTACCTGTTTAAAGTCCTTACATTTTATGGCTGTAGGAAGTTGTATGGGGCTTTTATACCCACATACACGTATATAGATTGATTTTGTGATGAGTTAAAGTGACAGCATACGTAAATACCATACTGCCGGGTAAAGGTGGACAAACCATGCTATCTTACTTGACGATTTAAAATGTTGTGGTATTATTGATTTTATCGTTACAAATCATTAATTAGATGGTGGTGGTGAGGAGATACTATAACATACTGTAGAAGTTACTTAAATTGAAATCAAATGTGTACATGAGTAAGAGCATCCTTCAATCTGTGACACTGGCATAAGTCATTTAGGAAATCAGAGCAAACTACAGTAACTAACTAAATCTGATCTAAATGCCGTAAGTTAATATTTTTCATGCAGTTTGGTTAGAATTGAGTTGTCTCAAAAATTATTAATTCTGGAGTGTTAAACAAAATAACAATTGTTAAAAATAGCCGAATACCGAACACACTTATTTGCTTACATATTTAACGTGACGAACTAACACCTAGGTTTAAATACCACCTGTTAACCACCTCATGAGGATTTAAACACTAAAATCAATAACCTTGTGAATTTAATGTCAAAAGGTAAGGTAGTAAGGGATGGCTTCCTATTATTCACAGTTACCAATTTACCTAATATAAAGAACTATCTCATATTTTAGGTTGATTATCTGGGGATGATGAATAATTCTTCATTCATGTTAAGTGGGGATGTGTAGTTATAGTGTTGCATAATGTAGGGAATTTTGGTAATATCTTGTCAGTACATTATTAGGCAATACTCCTGTCTGGGATTTTCAACTTGAGCTCCGGTAAAGGTTAAGGAGAGGGTCGTTACTTTATTCCTTGTAGATTGTCGAGATGATGTTTACGGTTGTATTTATTTTCTCGTATAGAATACAAACCTAGTGGAAGACAAAGGGGAATTTATGAAATTGGATTATTACCTTATTTCTTGGAATATTTATGGGATCTTGACTGATGTGTGTTTTTATAGAATCCAAATGCATTAGAGAACAAAGGTTAATGTAAAATTTAGACTGATTTGTTCATTTTGGGGATTTTCTTATAGATATTTGCTTTCCTGCATATATGTTAGGGAGCAAGGAAACTGTTACTTTTAATTTGCATCTACATACCTTTGGTTTGCACTAAGTATTTAAAACTTAATGAACTGAAATCTTTTAATATCTGGCATTTAATGAAGGAATTCTCAAACTGGAATTGTAAAGGACTTCTCCATACGAATTAATGTTTAAGAAACCAGTTAAAACTTAGTCTGGTATAAGACAACACTGTAGCATAGTGTGAATGTTTGATCTGGTAGTAATTGAACCTTGTATCCTTTCTCCAGTTTTTGTGAGATCTTGCCTAAAAAATAATGTTTGTACTCATAAAATAAGAATATTGTACTATATACTGTAATTTGCATTCTACGGTGACAGTTTCAAATACAGCACTGCAAAAATGGAGATACTGCGCATCCTAATTTAACAGTGAAGGAATAAAACAAGATGAATTGCTTGATTGAAGAGGATGATTTTGGAGCCAAACAGATGATAACTTGGACTACAGTTGACAAAAACCTAAAAGAACTCTCTGAAATTGTCAAGAGTAAGATGCATTTTTCTTGATTGAATATACTGTATTCCTCTCGTCCTTCCTTGAGAAAAAACAAGACCATATCACACGGGTAAACATGAGAAATGCGTTGAAGAAAACTTCTAAATCTCGTCAGATAATTCACTCATTTCATAAACAAGAGACGCCCAGTAGCACACCATTGAGACAACCATCCTAGTCTTCAAGCAAGTAGTGTTGTAAATTTAAGTAAAAACAAACCTGAATTATATTTGTTTTAAGAGTTTTTAATTTTATTATTTATAATCACTTTTACTGTAAACTGTTTAAATGATAATGATGATAATAATACAAATATTGTGAATCTACCCCAAAAAAAATATTGTAACTAACACAACAAAAATGATGTGTACAGTATCAGGTGATGGTTGCATTATTATTCTCTTACTGGTGACTGATTTGTTTTTGTAATTCTTTGATCATTTTATGTATGTACAGTACAATCATCAAATTTAATGTTACTTCTATAAGAGTAGAGAGTTCGTAATATAACGGTCTGTATCAAAATTGGTTGCTTCAGTAATACTCGCAAATTTTCGCAACAAACTGGCACTTTTTAGTCCAGCTTGGCCTTGGTACTGAGAATTACAGATATTAAAGAGTTTACTGAATGGGCCACTGAGTATTTGGTAAACTTATCTGAGAGCACTGACTTGTCTTACTGTATGTTAGCTGTCAGGCTGCAACACTAAACTGTATACAAAAGACGACATGAAGCATCCAACCCTAATCTCACTTGCCCAACCTAAATTAATGTCTTTTGAGTATTTTTAGTTAAGTTAGGTAGATTTATTCACCAAGGGACCCATGAAAAACCTCTGAAAAAACATGTCAATTGTAATTCCATATAGGTGTAATACTCTACAGTATGAGCCATTCATGAGGTAAGGAACGACTCGTCTTGTCCTTTAAACATTGGCTAAAGTTTCCCTAATCCACCCAAAGATGTACAAAAATGGAGTGCAAGGAACATGAAACCTCCACTATGATGGCTGCCATATGGTGGTTGAAGATGCTAGATTAGGTGAACCAAAAATGTGAAGGATAAATTCATTTTCTTGCTCCCTGCTAAAGTATTCATTTATTTCATTAAAATACACATGTTAGTGAAAATCTGAATGAAACCAAATCCATTTTATGTCTTCAAGAGCCATTCTAGACCATTACCAGAGAGATAAGAGATACAGTAGGTATATACAATACCATCAAAATATATACCCCTCTTGTGGTTGGTTTGTGTTTTGTCCTGTTATTCCTGGTTAGTCAAGTAGCCTCTATTAAGGGTGCTGTTAAGGACACTGGTAATTAGGTGAATACCAACCTTTTGTGTTCAGTCATTTTTTTTTTAAATTTTACTTAAAAAGAAATTTATCTCTTAAGAGATCCTTCGGAATATAACCAGGAGTTGAGAACCCTCTGTTTAACCTTTACATTAAAGAATTAACATTCATAATCTCCAAACAAATATTAGCAGGTCTTGTTGATGTTCAGGTTGGGAGATAAGTTGTTTCTGACGACAAGGGGAACTAACTAACCTAGCCCAGGGAGGGGGGTGTTAGCTTAACTCGGGTCGCTTCATGGTATTTACCCTTGAACGCGATTGTTAACACATGTACTGTATTGCTGCCATTCCTATGGAGATCTGAAAATAATGCTTTATGGTTGTACATTGATTTCTTCTTGCTTGCTTACCAACTTGCATTCTGTGTATTTGAGGAAGTATGTCTTTGAAGGTCCCATAACAATTTTTAAAGTAAACCTGTTAGTGTGACATTTCTATCCTTTATTCATTCTCTTTCTCGTAAATACATATAATTATATACAGTACAGGGTATATATATATATACATACAGTACACAGTGTATAGTTTACTTAAGAACAGTGATAGGGCGACAGAAACAGAAAATATCACATTGAATTCATAATACGTACAGATCTTACTTCTCAAAGGGAGCAGAGAAAGATAAGATGCTTCAATTAAATGTTGACCAAAGCAAGCATATGTAACCCATGTTGGTGTTATGTATGTTAGGTTTGGTTTGGAATAATTTTGTTCGTTGTCATTCCTACTGTTAAAATATGCAGTTGTCTTTTGCTTTAACTCGGTTGCTGGTAAATGTAATGATGGCATCTGATTATTTATTTATCTTATAAAACTATATAAAATAATGTATTATGATACAGTACAGTAGTGCTATTAGTAGGCACTTAAAGTTTAGTCATTTCATTTAGCTTCAAGATTTGATGACAGGTATGGGAGTCGAAAAAGGCTAGGTTAGAGTGAGTCAGGTTCGTAATTGTAAACTGTTGCTTCTTGTATTTGAGTCTTACAGTAGTTAAAAGATTCACTATTAATTGCTGATTGGTTTACAGTACTGGGAGTAAACCGAGGTGTGTCTATACACATAAACCACCAAGGTTGATATGTGTTAAGTTTTGTCAGTAAATGAAATGCTTGATAAGAGGGTAATCTTGTTGAAGTCTGTCCCTCCCTCCTCCTCCCTTCCGTTACCTTAGAGAAAACTGTAATTGGTCAGTCTATGCACTTTGACTTTTGACATCTTAATTCTCCCCCAATTTTGCTTCTTTTACAGTCTTCACACCTACCTGCCTTGTCCTCTCTCTAAATATATATTATTATTCACCACCCTTTTAAACAGTCTTTGTACACAAATCTGTAACACTGTCTCTGTCACATGTTTTAAAGACCAGAATTTGACTTTGCCATATATCCCTCCCTCTTCAACCCTCATACCATGCTTTTGCTAATTCCTCTCTTGTGCATACTTAACTGTAAGATTGTAGGTCAGCCGTGACTTTTGTGGATGACTAACTAACTTACTGTAAATCTAACATGCTTTAATGCTGCCTCAGTTTGTGGAGTGTTCAGTCCTAGTTTATCCCCTTGTTCCTGCTTAGCTACTACAGTACGTTTGACACAAAATAATTAATGGATTGACAGCATCTCATAAAGCTCAGTAGTGAATTTATATATTTATTATTACCTGTTCATACGGGTAATTTTTGTGTGTGGAAGTGGAAGGATTTTGAATGGTGAGGATGACTGTCAGGGCTGCTATGAACTATTCATGAAAATTGCTCTCTCCCCATAACATGTATAGAACATCATTATAAATGTCTTGGTGAAGAATCTCAAAGAAAAAATTTAGATGTACTGTATTGTAATTTATGTAACCTATATAGAATAATGCCTTAATAAGCTTCAGTAATAATCTTAAATGTATTATAGAGTAATGGGCATAGTGCAAGACATCAGTGTTACTGGTCTGTATGTAAACATGTTTCTGATGATGCTCTGACTATCATTCTGGTGGGGAGAGAGTGTCATTGTCCTGTTTCTAATATAACTTGGCAAAAGTGAGCATGTGTTTGTTGAAGAGAATAATTTGGGGTTAATAATGAGAAGTAAGAAATAATTGTACTGTACCAAGCTTAACTAGATGATATTTGTTGATGTTAAAGAAATAAACTAACACAGAACAAATTGTACATGAGCTTATTTTTTGCACGAGTACAGTATTGACTAAATGGCTTGTAAGAATAGGTGGGTGTGTTGCCCTGGGTGGTGGTGAGTCCCTGTATTGGGAAATGGACATGTTAGCTATTGTTTCAGTGTTGCTGGTGAATCATTATGAAGATCTATAGCTCTAAACAGAATGAGTTTGGATTACTTTGTTTTAATATACAGTACTACCTGTATATATTTAGTTCTATATCAAGGAATACAGTGCATAACATTGCATCACTTTCCTAGAAGCACAGTAACTTCCACCTGTAAGCCAGGAACAGCTGACCATTCTGTGGGAGGCAGGGTTGCTGCCACTGAACTTTCAAACGCTTACAAGAACTTGCCTCTTGGGTTGTTATCAAATACCCATACAGGCCAGAATTAACTTTTACCAAATAAACTGACAAACTTGGATATGTAATAAAAAAAACATTCAAAACACTATACTGTATATTCATACACTGTCACATTAACCTCCACAGTTGACCTTACTGGTACAGGTTGGTGTGTGTGGATGTGCAGTGTTATGCATATATTCTTTGGTCATATGCTCTTCATGTTTGCCTGTTGACTTGGGAAAAATTACTTCTGGGTGCCTGTTGACTTGGGAAAAATTACTTCTGGGTGCCGAGGCTGGTCCCTCCCGAGACTAACAATACATATAAGGACAAATGAGTGTTCTGTTACAGTTGAATAGGCCAGTTCATTTAAAACATTTGGTGGTTCAGTGGTAGCACTAACTGAAGAGGTCGGGCCAGACTGGTTTACATGACATGGGTGAACTGGGATGTAGTGGTCTTGTAAATGAGAAGCCTTGGGTGTGGCTCAGGCAGCATGGAACTCTTAAGCAACTACCGTGTGCTATTTGTTTGTTTATACAGTACTTAGGAATAATTCAAGATATTTTTTGTAAATTGAGTAGTAGATTGTTTTCTTGGGAAAATGAGAAGCTTGCACAGCATGGGCTGCTGTTAGTCGCCAACATGGCCTCGTCCACCAAGATGTTTTATGGACCTAATGTGATCCAGCCTTGTGTGTGCAATGGAAGCCTTGGTTATGCTATTCACTAGTGGATTGGTAATAGCTAGATGGAAAAGGAATTACCGTACAATGACAATGGATTGAAATGACTGTATGTACCCTTGTGTCTCCTGACCAGGTGGGTGACCAGTGCCAATATTTGACACAACAGATTAGTTGCTTGGCAACACACCACTGTAGGGAATAGACCATTATCGTGGTTGACTTCTCCCAGGTGTTTGGGAAAGTAGAATAGAAATTGCATTGTCAAAACCTGTATTTCTGTCTTAACAAGTGTTCAAGAACTGATCATTATCTGAATCTGATTCAAGAAATCTTGCTGTTACTGAGGATTGGAATATGTAGAGCGAACTGACAGCTAAAAATCATATTACAATACTGTATACTCTGTTGCTATAGATTTTGAATTATTAATACACCATTCTTTTACTTGTGGTGTTTTGTAAAGAAAATCCTAAGTGATTGACTTAGTAATAGCTTAGCAGGGAGCTGTGTACTTATTGAAGGAATGATCATACTGGGAGCTGGCTACTGTAGCATGCTGTAAAACCTATGGTTTTTGAAACTCATGTTTAATGGCATAGTAAATTAGATACAGTACAGTACGGTATCTGTATAAAAGTTCTGCCAAGTACGGTACACTGTAGTGTAGTTTGGCATGAACAGCTTTGATGGTAGTTAAGCACAGGTGCTGTAATCATAGAAAGAATTTGTCTGTCCTGTAGCATAAAAGTGTAGTACAGGTACAGTGTATTACCTTACTGATACACACGCATGTATTAATTTATCTTAAGCTGCTGTTTAGAGTCTTACTACTGTAGTGTGCAGTATGTCATAAAGGGAAGGAACTTGATAATGTTATTGATCATAATTTAAGCTCCTGTTTTGTCTGAGATTACTGTATAGCTGGATTGATGAGTGATTTGAAAACAGGGAGGGTAATAGCCATGGGAACATTACAAAGTAGAGTATAATGGCATGATTGGCTAACTGATATAGGCATTTCTCTTTCCTTCATCCTATAAAATATATCTTTCTTCTCTATTTACTTGATAAATATTGAATGCCCCCCCCAAAATTTATTAGTGTAGTTACAATAGTATGGTGGGTAATAGCATAGGAGTAACCTTAGGTGGTACAGGTAGGAGATACAGTATATATCAGGTCTGGGTAATTTTGTTCAATGAAGCCTTTTAATTGGTACAGTTTGGTAATTACTGTACCTGGACTGTAATTACTGATCATGAATTATAGGAAGATAGTCTTTTTAGTACGGTACTGAATAGACTTTTTTTTATAATCTTTAGTTCATGAGTGACGAATAGATAACATTTGGTGCAATCATTTGTGTGTGTGAGGTGTCTTGGGTCTTGCCGGGGAATCTTGACTTGATTTGTGGCATAAAGTACAGGGTAAATAAAATGTTTTGAAGCTACAGTACAGTACAAAAAATATGGCAAGAGTTTTGTAGTTCTATCTCGTTAACTTGAAGGTTTAGTTTGTAATCAGAATAATGGTTTTATTTTATTTTGTTAGCGTTCTTGCAACTTTAAGATTATTTATTTTATTTATGGTATGTTATTAGGGATCTTAGGGTTAATATGATGCACCATTATTGAGTTAGACATCTATATATATATATTTATTACTGTAGATATTCATGTACAGTATATCAGTCATGAAAACCCATATGATTATTAATAGTTTGTGTTTGAGGTGTGTTTTTGTGGTGGATGGCCAATAGCTTTACATCTGCATACATACTAAATGCACTTAACCACACCCCTAGAATTGACATAATAAAAATTCTTAGTTTTTAATCTTATAATTCTCAAAAAATTCAAATTTATTATTTTATTAACTTTAATGAATCTGTAGGACATTTGAAATATTGTCAATGATAGATATTGTGTGATTAATTTAGGTCACCCATTCATTGACTCAGTGAAATTAAAAAGTAAATTGATGTTTGAATCAGATTTTCTGTATTTCCTCCCCTGTGAATATTGAGCCAAATTCCCTTATTATTTTTTGTTTTATATTTTAATTGATTTTACAGGTGATAATGAGATGATAAAGGCCTCGGGTTAACTGTTAGGATGTTCAGGATAAATATTTTAACCAATGCAGCAGTACTGTATCCTGTGTTGATGAAATCTACTTATATTTAGTGTTGTAGCTATTGACAATTTCTGAATAGTGTTGTCATTATTGTGGTTTTTTTGGTTATCATAGACATTTGTAGTACATAATAAATGGCATTTATATTGATAAACATGATCAAGCAGTAGCTACATTGAAGCCAGACCTTTTGTGTGTCCGGTACAGTTGCTAGCCATTCATTATTTTTTTTATCTGTTTTTGATAGTCAGTATGAAGTGTCAGTCATTAAGAGTTGTTCTCTTATCAGTTGGGAATAATGTTAGTGTGTTATAAAGTACAGTAGTGTGCAGAAGGTAGGTTAGGTTAATGGAGTGTGGCTTTGTGTGAAATTTTAGGTAACTATTGGGGGAAATGTGAAGGACTAGATCATTGTGGTTGTCACTTTATAATGCTTTTTATTAAATTCTTTACCCATTTTTGTTAGTCTGATCATTAGGGTATCTTGAATTGTGGTGTTCATTCTTTATACTACATTATGCTTCAAATGCTTGTTGTTGACACTTAAAATTAATATTTTCATCATTGTGACGCATCAAATTAAAAAAAGAAAGTTTTTGAAATTGTCATGGGAGAAATCTTGATTTAGGGGGAGGGAGATATTGCTGCCATTAGGTTTTTCAGAGAAGTAGCTTTGATGCACGTCCTTTTGGTGTACATGACAGATATTGACGAGTTAATCCTAATTTCTTCTAGGGTGGAGCAAAGAGCGACACAATGCTTTAACTTGACATGGTGGAAATCACTGCGACCACGTGTGTATAACCTGTTGTCTATTTTTCGCCAAATGTCTTATTATTTCATAACAGTTTTGATTATGCAGTTTATCCAACTCACTGTCCTCTTTCTGCAAATTTGCCAGTATTGGTAGTTTAATTTGTAGTAATACTTAGGAACACAAGAGATTGGCCACTCCTTTCTGGGCCAGTCTTTTCTTCACAAGAAAAAATTAGTTTTAGCAATATTATACTATGAAAGTTGTCAGAAGATGGTACAATGTCCAATACAGATACTGTACTTGTGGTTTTAACATCCTCTAACCCTGTGTCCAATAATGCTCAAAATTGGGCATACTTTCCAGGGATAATCCAGTGGCAGAGAAGATATCTCCATACGGCTTGGGGGTGCTGGTTGTGAGTTTTAGATGCATAATGTCCATCTTTAGCCCTTTTTTATTTCTCAGAACATTTTAAGAATCACTAATGTTTTAGGGTGTGGTGTAACCTGCTGTGGGAGGTGAAAGACTGAAGTGTGTGCTTGATTGCTGGAACCAGTTTTAGAGAGTGATTCAGGAGTGATTTTTATTATTATCATCATCATTATTTTATGGGTCTTAGAGTGACTCATTTAGCACTTCAGGTTACACCCTCACATGTTAGTGTAAGTTCAGGGTAAATGAGCTTATAGTGAGCATGACCTTGGTTGGGGGGAGGGGGGTTTCATTCATATCTGGGTTTCATTTTTTGCGTCAAATTGTGTGTTTGTGCCTAGAATAAAAAAACATGTTTTCTTTTTCATTTAGTACAGTATTTATTTAAATTCTTGTATTTGTCTTCAAGGTCATGAATCACTTGATACAGTAATAGTTAAGTATTTAGAGTAGGTTGAAGTAATGGTGCTCCCTGTGCAGCCAAAAATCATTTTGCTTTAATGAGAATTGTAATTTCTTTGGAGAAATCTTTATAACCTTAATCAGATCATGAATCAAAATTATAAAAAAATTAATTAGTGCAGGTAGTCTCTTAATGTCTTGTTTGTGTTATTCCAAGCATTGAGATTTGGGCTGCATCTTGGTGCGTGCATTTATTGACACATGGCCGGTGGTTCTCCCATAGGTGACGACACCAGATACCGGCTAAAGTTCTCAGACCCGAAGGTTTGCAAGAGCTTCCTGCTGACCTGTTGCCCCCATGAGATCCTCTCTTCAACGGTGAGTAATTGTCTATATAAATTTACAGTATTTTAATAGTTTCGATTTTCTTCTACTTAATATCTTGGTTTGACGAAAGTATCAATTCTAAAAAAAAAATATTTTTTATTCCTCTCACATACTTAAGAATATGGAAACTTCATGTTGGCAATGTTGTCACTTCAGCTCTTCTGCAGGAGACTGTTGATATATACAGTAGATTTATTTACCTCTTTCTACTCTACAGGTTATTCAGTTTATCTCGGAAGAATCATCAGTCTTCCCTTCCTCCCCCATTGACCAGCCTCATCTCTATCTGGCCTCCTCCCTCCCCCCCATTCGTAACCTTCCTCCCTCCATCAGTTAAATAAATCTCTCGTTAATGGATTTGTCCCCACAGCTTGATAGTATTAGGTGAGGTTGTTGATATACAGTAAAGCCTTCGATAACAACGGTTCAACCAACAATTCATATTTAAGACCCAAGTTAATTTAGGACCCAATTCAATTTACGTCCTGATTTCGTTCGTATTTATGACCAAAATATAATAAAAATAAAATAAAATTACATTTTCATATCAATAATAACTAAATCCCGATACGTATTATAAAAAAATTACTGTAAAAAATGAAGAGCGCCTTGTGCAAAGAAGCTGCCTGGCTAATGAGTGTTAATGCGCATCGCCAGTAAACAACAATCGGAGCTTTGCAGGACTTTTGTTTTCACGCATCTGAACAGGAGAAAAACTTTCTCAGGTTTCTTAAAGCATTTTTGCATCCCTATTCAACATGAGCAAGAGAGCAAGTGATGGTTGTGGTGTTTCAAAAGTTAATAGAAATTGTATAAGCTTAGCTGAGAAACTAGATGTGTTATAACGATATGAAAAAGGTGAGAGGTCTGTGGATATTATATGGAGCAAGCAATGAACATATTTTCTGAAGTGGATCCATTAACCGAACAAAGTATTAAAATTTAAATAAATGCAAATGACCTCTACATAAAGATGTATAATGAGATAAGAAAGCAGCTGTGAAAGGTTCTATAGACAGCTTTATTATTCGAAGGCCTAAACCATCAACTTCAGCATCATAAACAGCTTCAACATCAACTTCAGGTTCAGTAACAGTTTCAGCAACAGCTTTATGGAAAGCTACAGCTTCAGCCAGAGTTGAACCTGATGACTTCGTCATCTGAGTAAAAACTCGCACAATGTTCATTGGCTGTCCTTATGTTTTAGACTTTACCACCATTGGTGAGTAGAATTTTTTTTTTACATTCGTAAATGTTATTTAAAACATATATGAACAGCAAATAAGTGTTGCTTTCATATTAATATGTAGAGAAATGACGAAATGTTTTCACATGTAAGCACTTACTGCTCATACGTTGACATTCTTAATCGTCCCATTAGTGGTTAGCTACTCCTAGTGTTCCATTTATTAACATTAAATAACATTACTTAAAACATACATACAGGTATTAATTTTTTTTTAAATTGAGTTCCCTACAGCTACACCCAGGGTCTTATTTTCTTCATTTTCTCGTGTAAACTATCGTCCCGGACTCCCGGCTGTAAACACAAACGAAAACAATGGCGTCCCATCTATTGTGTGACCATATTATTATTCATTTATATTGTATAAGATGCATTCAGAAACATTATTTAAAGAATATAGTTTGCACTTTTCATTAATTGTATTGTTTTGGGGGGAAAAGAGGGTAAAAAGCCACACAAAAGATATGAAAAGGTCACACTTGGGAACGCATCTCATTATTATTGCTTTATTTTAATGGTAATTAATAATTCGCGATATGATGATTCACCTTACACTGCAATATTGCAGGACACATTACCGTCGTTATTCGAGGCTTTACTGTACTGTATTAATGATTGAATATAATTGATATTCTAGAAGAACATTGGAGACAACTATAGTATCATCACCCTGTAGTGGCAATAGACTCAGATGTGTTATACAGTGAACCCTCACTTTTCGCGGTCAATTGAACCCACGGCTGCCCGCGTAAAGTGAACAACACAACATGGGATTCATTGAAATAAGAGACCGGGCCGACCCCCAAACTCCACTTTTTCAGACACAATACCTACGTTGTAGTAAAAATAACGTCTTAATTTTATGATGGTATGCACACACAATTAATAATTAAGAGAAATATCAATAATATTAGGTTTTTTAACACTTACATTAGTAGAAAAGATGGCTGGGCACACGGGGATGAGGGGTTGGTTCCGAGGCAGAGGGCAGATTATTGGCCCTCACCTGTATCACTTGTATCAATTGTATCACTATCCACCACAGAGGCTTGCAGGGCCTCTTTGTCAAACCCCTCAAAGTCCATACAAGTCCATATCCTCACTATCATTATCACTATCACTGACTTGGGCCGGCTGTGGCGGGTGAAGAACTCGGTAATGTTTTGATGACTGGGCGACCTTGTGCGCACCCTGCTCGCGCCGCTCTCCGCGTAAAAGGGTACACACACACCGCGGAAAGTGAGCATTCCGTGTTCGGCGGGGTACCGCATAAACGTGGAAACGCGTAAAGCGAGGGTTGACTGTAATTGGTTCTGTGCTGAGAAAGACCTGTCACGAGTTGGAGAACAATGTCAAACATCAAGAATGATTTTATTTCTGTGATTAGTTATCTGGATTTAATGTTACCTTTGTATATAGTAGTGGATTTGTTAGCATAAATGAAATACTATATGTACTGTAGTTTAATTAGATATTTCTGTTTTTCAGCCTTAACAAGTCATGGGAACACGAAAGAATTATTCCTTGTTTTTATGATGACCTGTTATATTAGAGGTACAGACAAGGGTGTTCTAACTGTGCTGCCTTCCATTATCTGTACAGTATTACTGTATTGAAGGAGGATGATTAAAGAAATGTCTTTTTGCAGCGTATGGACCTGGGCGAGTGCCCCAAGGTTCATGACCTTGCACTTCGGGCAGATTATGAGCAAGCATCAGCTCAGAAAGACTACTTCTATGACATTGATGTAAGTAAATTATAGTTTTTTCTAAACTATATTTGCCTACAGTTCCCTTACACTACCATGTGTGTGTGTGTGTGTGTGTAATAATAGTACCATTTGGCACCTTGGACACTTGATATAATTAGCATTGAAATTATTTTGAATGTCATCACTTTTCTCACAGGATAAGCTCACCAATACAGTACTGTACACACAAATGCTTCATTGGGTTCATTTTGTGGCAGCAACATTGCTCTCTGTTAGTTGATATTCATCTATAAGGCTAATAGTATTTATTTATTTTAATTATGAATGGTTGCTTCAGTGAATGAAGCTTTTAATAAGAACTTGATGTCAGACCTAAATAGTTGAAATGAACTTTTAACCCACATCCACTTGTGATGTTTGCAGTCTTTATATTGAGAGATCTTGGTTACACCCTTTTACTATTTTTTCACTAAACATTTTTGTATAGTCAGTGTGTTGTTAGTGACACTGGTGCAGTCCATCAGTTCTTGGCACATGAAAACTGCACAAGGGGTGTAAACACTCCATTGAGATTATTTACCTTTTAGAATAAATGTTATCCTTTAGGAATATAAAATTCAATCTTGCTTTCTCAGACAAAATGTCAGTGCACAATAATCATGCACTGATCATACAGATGTCATGTAAATTCAGAAACAACTGATGCTGTTACAAAAGTTGTTGTGGGGCCTTAAATTACACTCAAAGTAGCACTTGTGAGCATTTGTGTTATGATGTATACATAGTAGGAAAGCACTGGTATATTATGAGCCCTCACTTCTAACACTGAGAAACAGGCTTCAAGTGTCACGTCTTATGACATTCTCCGAGATGATATTTTTGTATTGTATACCACTTTTCCCCTCAGTTACAGCCATTGATAAATTGAATAGAAATAATTAATATTTTTACCTATATATGTCACCTCCATTTATTATCCTGATTCATCCTCTGACTTTCCTCTTAGCTCCCCAGAACTGTAAGACTTGTAGACAGTTTTCAGCATACAGTACTGCGTAAGTCTCAACTCTGTTGCATTTTTTGTTGCACTTGTTGTAAGGATAAATTTTAGGGGGCTTGGTTCCTAGCCCTGTTCCACCCTTCTTAGTCACCTTTATTAGCATACAGTACAGGGATATAGAGGATTTTGTGTACATACAGTATCACCCAATCTCTGGACAACAATAAATGATTCATCACTTATTATTTTTCAAAATTACCCTAAGTCAAATTTTATATACTGATTCATAACCTAAGTTATTGTGTTCACCATGGAGTGTTGTTAATAATAGTATTAGTTGACATCCAATACATACTCCTTCCATGACCCTGTCAACTGCTCTTAGTAAAGCTTAGCATAATTTTTTAGTATTATTCTCAACATATTTCTTTGAATCCTTGTTCTCTCAGGGACTTGTGGATGGTTGCCACTCTAATAGGCCCCAACCTAACCCAGTCTGACTCCTGTACAGTACTGATATTACTGGTTAGGTTAGGTTGTGGACTATCAGGAATGGAGCCCATTTGACCTGCAACATCCACACCAAGAGGAACACTTAAAAAATTTTCTCAAGAATTTTCCTTGCTGGTAGATTGTACTAAGTGTTCTGGTATACCAAGTGTTCTGGTATGGTATTAATGGAGCAATTTTAATGTAATGATTTTGAGTTACCACATAGTGAAGTGTATTGAACAGATCTCTTATCTCTGGTTTCATTATCACAGGCAATGGAACACCTGCAATCATTCATCACAGATTGTGACAGACGAACAGAATCTGCCAAGAAGCGGTTAGCAGAGACTCAAGAGGAGTTGAGTGCAGAGGTTGCAGCCAAAGCTAATAAAGTCCATGACCTGGCAGAACAGATAGGAAAGAAGTTGGCAAGAGCTGAAGGTCTCGGTGCTGATGGAATGGTTGAGGTGAGGCATCATATACGTACAGTATTGGAGTGTAATGTGTACCTGTATTCTTATGATACTGTTGCCACTTTTTGGGATTAAATCTTTCCTGTCATAATGTCTCATGTTTTCTTTAGGTTTAAAAGTCATATCCTTGTATCTTCTCCCTAGTGCTGGGTTTGTGTATTGCTTAGATGTTTGAGACAGATCCATGAAAACGAGCAGAACCTCAAATGCTGCCGTACTAAGTAAGCATTGATATAGTGGCTTAGTTTGCTTGGACTTTACTTAGTTTGCATTTTCCAGTTAGATTTTATACAAAATTAGAAAAAGAAAAATTAGCTTAACAAAATCACAGTGTTACGTCAGACAGTGAACCATTCACTCGGTAAACTTATCACAAGTTTAGATAATGGGACAGTGATGAACATGTTTTATGGAGTAGATGACACAGTACTGTATATTGTTGTACAATACAGCTTAACTTTTACAGGAAAGCATGAAACTTATGGAAGAAGTAGAAGACTTACGTAAGCGCAAAGCTGCTGCTGAGCAAGAGTATCGTAATTCCATGCCCGCCTCAAGTTACCAACAACAGAAATTGCGTGTCTGTGAAGTTTGTTCGGCTTACCTGGGTATCCATGATAATGACAGACGTCTGGCTGACCACTTTGGTGGGAAGCTTCATTTGGGCTTCATCAAGATAAGAGAAAAGCTTGAGGATTTAAAGGTAAATACTGGTGGTTGCAAAGATTACATGTACTGTACAGTATATGGTCCTTCAGTTCAAATGTGTTCTCTATCCATACATACATTAACTACTTAAGAGAAAATTTGAGGCTTGATCCCTTGTTGGGTTTCCATTCTTTGTGTAAGTGATTGGTTGTGAATATAAAAACTCCATGCCAACTTTTGCAGACCTTGGGATGTTAAATTCATGTTAAGTGTTTGGTATATGCAGTTGCACAATCTTAATATATGGTTTTAGATGACAAATGGATAAGTTATACATGTGTTTGCTTCTAGTGTACTAAGACTATTGGTGAGGAATAATGTCAAACTTGAGCCGAGTGATTGGAGGGACAAACAACATTAAACTTATATCATGTCTTTGAAATGTTCCCTCTCAGAGACATAAATATTGGGACTGGAAACTTTGATTGTAATTTCTTGAGATCAGTTCCATTGATGTGGGTGTTTTATTTTTCCTCTCTAGTGTTGGAATGATGCTTCAACTGAATGCATGCCAAAGAGCCATCAAACATTTTAGTGAGTGTTACAGTAAAGTACCCTGAGGAATTATACCTTCTTCTTAAGATATTTTAGAATAGGAAGGTGTGTCTTGCAATTTTCTCATATATAGTATTCACGTTAAGCTTAGTTTAGTACTGAAGTTTTATGCTGGCAATATTAAAGCCACTCTCCTCCTCCGCTATCATTTAACCCATTGACCTTGAATGCATCACCTTATCCTTGAAGTGGGCTTGTAATATCCATGGATAGACTTGGGCTGTCATTTTCTCACCTATCCTTGGGAACTTTTCATCATTGACTGACATTTTCAGTCTTCTATTTTATGACAATAGAGTATTGTATGTCATTGTGTTTATATCAATATCCTTTTTCCCCCAATAGAAAACGGTGGAAAGTCGGAGAGAGAAACGCCGGGAAGAGAGGGAGCTTGAAAGAAATGCTCGCTTTGGTGAAATTGCTGATTACGATGTCACCAGGTAGGTGCAGTGGGTTCAAGTGGAGGATTTACATAAAGATAACAATATAACAATGATCACCAATACCATGAAGGGGTGAAGTACCACATGTTAGATTCCTTGCCCATGACTACTACTGTATATGACTAGGTGGTGTCCAAGTCTGTTTCCTCACACAGCCCAACTGTGGAATGCTCTGCTTTCTTCTATGTTTCCATACTCTTGCAATCTGTTTCACTTCAAAAGCTGGTTTTCCTGCACCTTCGTGGTGTAGGTTAATGTAGTCTTTTTGTCTTCTATTTTTAATTTCTTTTTACTCTTATTTTTTTTGCCCCCAGGCCCCATTGTGGGTCAATGACCTGTGCCCGGGTGGGCTATTCCCCCATAAACTTAATTTTACTAACTATTCAACAGGGATCATGATCGTGAACGAGAACGTTACCGTGAGAACGATCGTGACAGAAGAGACCGATATCGGGACGGTGACAGAGAGAGGCGACGACGGAGGTCAAAATCTCGCTCCAGGTCCCGTGAGAGGCGCCGTCGCCGTTCCAGATCTCGTGAGCGTTACTACAGATCCCATTCAAGATCAAGATCACGAGACCGCAGGTGAGTACTGTGCTATACATCTGTCTTCATATTTTTATTGTTGAAGTAATTTTCTTTCAGTCATACAAGTTCAGTGGAATTTAAGTTTACCAAACCATCCTTTAATACTATACAGTTTAAGAGAATTTTTATTCTGAATGACATTTAAAATATTCATTTTGTGTGTGTGTAGGGTTTTTCTTTATTATTATTTGCACAAGTGGACCAGACAACCAGACCTGTATTTACTCACTTATTGGTATGTTGAAGATTGGCTGTAGATGTAGCATTGTAAGAAACTATGAAGGAAATTGGCATAAACGAAGTAGAAAAATGAGAAACTGAATGATGGAGTAGAGAATACAAATAGGAGAATATCTTTTAAAAATATTAATGAAGAGTATTTAGAATACATATATGGTAAGGTGAATACACTTAACATATGGCACCAAATATGTTAGAGATGACTGAAATAAAAGTAAAAATAACTTCACATGCTTAAGATTTGTCAAGGTAATTGCTACTACAGCTCCTCTACGACCTACTCGACTTGCGTCCACCCGCACTTACGACCCGCCTCAGTCGTACCAAAATTTGGTTAAATTATGTATTTTTGAGTCCCAAAGTCAGTACACAGACAAAATTTTCATCTGTAATTCACTTTAAATGGCTGGCAAGCTTAAAAATGAGTGTTTTGTGGTGCTGAGAAGAAAAAAGAGACACCCATTTTAGATTTTCTGTGTTATTTAAACATTTCCGACTTACGACCATTTCGACTTACGACCTGGATGTCGGTCCCTAACCCCGTCGTAAGTCGGGGATTACCTGTATTTCTGACCAGTTGGTAAAACCTAATATTGTGCTTCTCTGTATAGTATCACACAATGGTTAGTATATCCTGCTGCTAAGTCAGGAATGGGATACCCTAAACGTTTTTTACTATTCCTCAGACGTAGAAGTAGGTCAAGGCGCAACAGGAGGTCAAGGTCAAGAGAACGTCATACTCGCTCACGTGAAAGGTCGGCATCCAGAGAGAGAACCTCGAGGGACAGAGCATCACGGGAAGTTGAAGACAGAAAATTACAGGAGCATATACAACCAGAGGCACCAGAGAGGTGAGGAGTTGAACACTTATCATGACCCGCTTTAGTTTGTTACACTGGTAAAATAATGCCTCGCCCTTTTGAAGCCCTCGGAGCATGGTTTGTATGTCACTCGAAGCCTTACCTCTTTGAAGCCCTCGGAAAATGGCTTGTGTGTCATCCGAAACATTCCTTAAAATCACGCCATTTTCTTTAATAAAATAACCACCTAAGGACATCTTTTGCTTCAATCACATCCATCTTATATATTTTCCATAAACATTTCAATAATCTCCCCACACCTATTTAAAAAACCCACTGTTGAGAAAATTTAATTGATGTTGGCTGCTTCAATTAGACTAAATACTGTACGGTATATCCACAATACATTTATGCCACTTGTTAAGAATTTGAGGGTAAAGGGAGTAAGTGGTTAGTTAAAGTAAGGGCTTCAGTTAAGTACCTGCTGATTTAGTGAAATTTAACCCTATACATTTATTTTTCATTCTATTGTTTTAATAAACCAGAATAATGCATAAATTCACTGGATATTAAGTTTATATCGACTCATAATGATATAAGAACTTTACTCTGAATTTTGAGTGAAAATTTCTAGTATAAAATCGAAATTATTTTCTTCTATTCAAGTGGTAAGTGTTTATACAGCACTGGTTTATGTTTTTCCAGGGACGGATCTCCTGAAAATGGTGAAATTACAGATGACAGGTCCAGAGACGGCATAGAATGAGGCAAACATAACATACTGTGGTACCAACGAATTTATGTATTCAGAAGAACCAGCCACTGAGTGTTTTAGATGTTATTCATTGTTTTCCATATAAATGTATTTACTTTGTTGACCATTCACAATACATCATATGCAATGATCATTTTCTCTCAATGTCTTGTGGCAAGTTACTATAACCATTTACATGACACATTTTAGTGTCTTTTCATCTACATTTTACTGTAATTTATGAATTTAGGTAAATCACCTCCAGATACCTGATTTACAACCTGAGATAGTTATTAGGATTCTCCCTTTCCTCCCCTTAACATCAGCACACAATGTACTGACCAAATTTCATTTTTCTTTTACTTCCCAGCTTACAAAAGACTTCACTTACTGTCTAAATATGATGTTTGGGGGATGGTAAGGTAACCTGTCTCGCATGCACACTACCATAAGAGGTCTTAATTATTACATTTCTTTTGTAATAAGATTTTTTTTCATTACATACCATACTAATGAATTGCCATTGGCAGTGCTTATTTATAAATTAATGCATTGATTGCTAAGGCAAGAAATGCATGAATGGGTTATCAATTGCAATTCTAAAATCCTTCAAAACTAGATCATGTAGTAAATGTGTTTGGCCCGGCATATAGATTATGCCAAGCTATGTCAATTCTGCATATAGACTATGCAGTGCTACCAGTTATTCTAGACCAGTCTTCATAGGAGATGAATAGTGATGGCCTGAATATGTACAATAGCTAGGAGCTGTAATGAACATAAGTTTTTTTTGGTCGATTGTTTTTGAGGCTTGACCAGGTGAGCTAATTTACAAGTTGTATTACATGTTAGTAGTAGAAACAAGATGGTAGTCATACAGATTTTTGATTGAATTGAAAATATCCCATTTTTACCTGAGTGAGGTTTCAGCTGTACACATGTAATTTACTTGAATTAAAGATTTGAAATTAAGTTTCATGTTTTTCCTTCGTCACTGTTTGATGGTCTGTACGTTGAGAAGCTTTGTATCAGTGAAGATCTCAGTGAAGTATTTTATGCAAAGTACACTGAGAAAAACTTAAATTTATTTGAGGTTTAGAAAAGTATGACAATGAAGTAAAAGGCCTGCATACAAGAATGTGAAAAGGTAGTGTCAAGGAATGGAACAAGTGAGAAGGAACAGAATCTTAAAAGTAGCTAGATAGAAAAGTTAACAAAGGAAATAAATTATGAAAGGAAAATATTTAAGCCAAAATTCCTATCCGAGTTTATAGTGTGGACTAAGTTAAGAGAAATGCACTTGAGAGCATTATGTAGAGTGATTACATTGGGAAGAATGAAAGATGGACGTGAAAGGACTGTAAGACAACTAACTAGAAATTATGAGGATAGTACAGACAAACAATTTAGATTTTCTGCAATGTTTATACAGTATAGAAACCCAAATATACATGGTACTCGGCTTTTGTCAATGAGGGTGAATTAAAGATGTGTTCATGAAAAAATTAGAAGCACTTGTATTCAATGCCAACTGGGTATAATTATTTATATATGCAAGAGAACTATAAGTTATCTAGATTGTATAGGGTGTTATAATGTCCTGTTATCACTCTCCTCACAACTTTTGGAGAATGGACATTTAAAATGTGTTTACATTTATAAGGTATGGTTCAATTCATATTTGTCAATTTAATTATTTCTATCTATATGATCATTACTGCTGTATTTGCTCTTCAATACCTGTACTGTACTATACATATATACTTTGGTTTACCATTTTTTAAATTGTATGAACTTGTTAAATAAAATGAGAGGGTTACACACTTTAACCACCAACTTGAGGAAATTTTTCTATAGAAGATAAATACTTCCCTACCCCATGAAAAGCCTTAAAAATTGGGAAGGAGTAAATTTTTCATAATACATGTTTTATTTCTATGACTCCCATTCTGAACTTATGCACTGCTGCACACTACCACGGGCATAAAATAAACAAACCTAACCTAATGTAGTCTTAATCTACCTGTTGAAATCTAGGTTAGGTTGGTTCATTTTATCACTGATGAATCATCATATGTAGCAGTAGCTGGTAAGTTTTTGGAAGCGTCTCTGACATATACAATGGATATGTCCTCTGGTGTACAGTTGTAGAATAGTGTCTGGGACGGAAAAAATCTGAAAATTAATAATAATGTACAAAAAGTTATTCCTTCCTTTTCTGGGGGCTTCATGGGTTAAGAAAGCATTTACCTAATACAGAAAAATTTCCTGAAAATGCTAGTTAAGGAGTGCAAACCTTCATAAAATATTACTTTACATAATTACAATTAGATTCTCTACTTATAAAAACATATGAAGTATACTGTTACCATGATGGAGGCCTGACATGGGCACTGGAAAACTAACACTTCGACACTTCAGGGGTTTGTTGATGCCTGCCGTCACGCCCTCCACTGCTTTCTTCACATAATTCCGTGCAGATAAGCATTGAAATCAGTCGGGTTAGATTAAAATTATTGTAGGTCAGCTTAGTTCACATCAGGAAATCAAGTGGGGGTGCAGCCTGAAGCTATCGGGACATTTCAGCATTAAAATACCATCGACAGACATAATTTCTTAGTTTAGGGCTGTTGGAGCTGTAACCATCATAATTTTGTGTGAGTACGGTGGAGTATTAGCTGATATAATTCTTCTCATTACCAGTACTGTATAAGAGGTACTGTAGTGATGTATAGTATTGATATGGGTGTTAGCAGGCGTGGCTCTCCTGCAGTTGACGAAGAAAAAAAAAGTTAACGGGAAATAATTCACACTGATAAGTGTGATTTAACGTGTTGTGTGATTAAGGAACTTGAAATAAAAGCAAATACACCACTAATTACGTTGTATGATAGTATATGAAAAAACAATCCCATGTCTAACCAAACCTGAAAAAAGGTTAAATAAAAACTTTTACTCCAGTTTATCTTTTTTTTTTCTTTTATCTGACTACCTCTGTTACTATAGGGATCTTAAATTCACCAACAACTGCTTACTCTCCCATATGATTAGTGTGATCATCCTAACCTAATTTCTTTTGCCTTTTGACCTTACCACAAATACTAAGGCGTTCTAACAGTCACTCGTGTCTGTCCGTACAGTACATCATGCACATTGTTTGGTTAATATAGAACAGACTGACGTATAAAATGCTTTTACCCTGTACTGTACTGAATTTTCCTGGTGTATTTGCCATAATAAACTTTGTTTGACTCGGTAATCTTAAATGAAGTACATTACTGTATGCATCTTCAGTGATTGTATTTTATTACAGTACCATATATATATTGTAGTCAGATGTTCTAAAACTTATCACAAGGAATAAGAGGCCAGGTATTCCCAAGGTCATGGGAAAAACATATCTTCGAATTCCAATCAGACTTAGAACCTGAAAGGGAGATTTTCATGTCATTTATCATTCCCATAGAACACAGAAAACGAAGCCAAACTCATTATGGTTTGTATTTGTGATAATTAGTGAGATAGTTTAGGACAGGAATACACACGAGATATAATGTCAGACAGCTACTGTAACTTGGGTAAAAATGGAAGTAATTGAAAACAACACCGAACAAATCATACAGTATACTGTACACAGTCATTAATTATACAAAAGATTATATAATCATTTATATGGGAGGAGAAATCAATTAAGAATGATGACGCAATGGGATTAAATTTTGCGATAAAGTGGTGGAACCAATTGCCTTCTGCTCTTGTGGAAATGAATGTCTATCAATCTATCATCGGATTATAGCAGAAATGAACCACTGGGTATTGCTACAATTAGTGATATTCAAAAACAGGCAAACGTGGAAAAATTTAGAACCTTTATACAGTAAAATCATATGTAATTAAAAAAAGGCATTAATTTTTATATCCTGGAATATATATATATATATATATATATATATATATATATATATATATATATATATATATATATATATATATATATATATATATATATATATATGATAGCATTGTACGTAGGTTATGGTAAGTTGGGTTTGTTTTTTTCTGTGACTTTTTTCCCTGGGTTCGGGGAGGTAACGAGGTGTCTCCCTAAGAATTAGTGTGACGGGAGCAGGTGACGCTACGGTTTGACTGTGGCACCTCTGGATAAATAATGGATATAAGGGAGTGTTATACTTCCATATTAGATATTCCTTGCTTCATAACATAGAATTTGTTAATATTGTTTCGATACAGCCACTGAGAGTATACGCAGGTGAGGCAACAGTTAGATTCACCAGAGACATAAACATTGACGACCACCAAACACGTCTTCGGGAACAACACGAGGATCACTTTATCTGCGAGACATTCGAGGATTTCATCGCCTTTCTTCTATTCTTAAGGTAAGGTGACACTCCGAAGTATAAATTGATGATGAACTAGATAATAACAGCAATTTGACTTGGAGATTGTTCGGAATATCTTTGGCTTCGTGAACTACTGTGTTTACATTAGAGTGCACCAACTACTGTAGTATGTGATTTAAGGATATAACGCAAATAATTAGATGAAAACCAGTTTGTGGTATACATAAAGTGTAGTACGATGTTACCGATAGTTCTTTCTCATTTCATACTTATAGGAGCCTAGACTAAGATGGTCATACTATTCGATTGTTATTCAGTCTTTAAAAATTATAATATGTTGTCATTGTTTTGATAAGCAGTGAGGTTAATTTCGTGTATAGGAAGGCGGCACATTAATAACGACACCTCACTTGACAGGATGGGAGAACGTGAATAATCTGAAACGTTCTGCTTCAAATGTTTTCCTTGATCAGTGCATTCATGTGAATTGTGGCGGGGTGAGGGCGAGGAAATGTTCAATCCAAAAGCTATATATTCGAACTTTGACCCACAGAAAATAAATTTAGCTGTCATCGGCCTTGTTCCACTGAAATCTGAAAGTACGCCAAAGATTTGGTATTATTACAGTTTCAACCACACCTCGGCTGGAGCAATTTTGTGTTCATTAGTTATATCTTGTCATTAGGAACAACTTTTTCTAATACCACTTTCGTCGCAAATGGATATTAACCGTTAACCGAGGAGGTAAATTCACGTAAGAAATTAACGCAAATCTGCAGTCACCGCGTGTCGGCTGTGTGAGTACAAATTACAACTGATCCGTTCGGTCTGAGCCAAACAGCACAGTATAGTATAGAACAGTACTGTACTGTACTGTCACGTCCACAAAAACGTAAAATTACACCACGATTCTTCAACAAAGTTGCTTTCATTGGTACCAAATATCAAAATAAGTACTTTCTGTTTAATATAGCGGGGACGGCTAGGAAGTTAGGTAAGGTTAGGTTGGATTCTTTGGTTGGTTAGGTCAGGTTGTATGAGAGGTTGATAAGTTCAAAATGGCTCATTTTCAACGGAAATGAAGGTCATATTCGAATGAATCACACTAAATACCACGGGAAAAACAGAAATTTGTGGTCGAACAGAAGTTGTGGCTGAAACTGTAAATTTACCAAAGAATTTTAGTCAATAATGTGGGTGGCCTTTCTAATCCCATTTCCTCCGTTTTCCGTATATGTGAAATCGAATATATGGGCCAAATGGCTCCCGCATCCTTCCCTTTTCTAACTATATGATGACTGGATGCATGGCCCTGTTTATTTTTCAGCGCGCTTTAAAGCAGGTTATGGTGTGGGGGTATAGTACCTTGTATGTACAGTATAATATCTCGTAAAGTAAAATATATTGCTAGGAGTGTCGGTATTTTACAAAGTTACGAGAAACATGTGTTCTTTGTGGCTCATGCCATACATAAGACTAATACTGATACTAGTCTTCAAAATTGCTAAAATCATGTAAATCTACAGTTTAAGTAGGTGCGTTTAGACAGGTCAGCTGGGATAGGCGCCAAAATAGAACATTAAAAGTGAGTGTGAAGTTCGAGAGGGA